ATGTCCCTTCTATGCCTCTCCTACTGACCATCCAGATTCCGCCTCTCATATCACTAGCATCTGCTTCAAACAAAACGGCGGCGACCAGTCAAGAAGATCTGATCGATGATCAAGATATATATTGTAATAAAACGGGTCTTACCTCGCGGGGTGCATCAAATCACGTGAGCACCTTTAAAATATAAAAAAAAATGGAAAATATCTGTCGCCGCCTAGCTGTCGGTACACATCTTTGGCAGATCATGCAGTCGACGGAAATCTGCACGTTGAAATCCATGTTTTCGAACTTTATGTCTAGTTCGTTACGTGATTTTGATTGGACTATGCATAGTGAGTGTGAGTGAGTGAGATAAAATTTAACGTCACATCGGCAATATTTCAAAGTAACTTTGAGATTGAGTCCAAGGCCTTTAGACATTTATTCTTTAAATATTTAATGTGAAGCAGAAAGGTCAAATGGTGGTCGAAAATAATACCCTTTCATAATTTAAACATGAGTATCATCTAAAATGAGTTCCGGGTCTTTGTGCGGTTTATATTTTCACCAAAATGAATGCAGTTTGTCTTAGATTTTGAGAATTTGAATCCGTTTTCTAAAAACCATTTCTGGATCTTGCCTTTCAATGGTAATAATGTTCTTGCTACGACAGGAAATATTAAAATCATCCACAAAAAGCGATCCATCAATTGAATCATTTAAAACTTTTGATAAACTGTTGATTTGTACGCTAAATAATGTGACAGACTTAATACTGCCTTGTTGGACACCCTGATCCTGATTATAATTATCAGACAGGGTAGAACCCACTTGGATATAAATTGAGGTAAATGGCCTCTCAATCCAAAATCATGTAAATCTTTTGAAAGACCGTGTTTCCAGGTAGTGTCACATGCTTTCTCTAGATCGAAAAAGATAGACACTGCATGCTGGTTTTTATTTTTCACAAATGGCGCTGACCGAACTTGTTTGTTTTGCTAACGTTTCACCCAGTTTATTTGCAATATCCATTTTTTTAGTTTATAGTCCATCTCCATTCTTAATATGGTGGATGCTAGATTTAAATACCTTACCTTTAATTTTCTGAATCATGTTCCATACGTTGGACATGTGTGTTCGTGAATTTAAGTTTGTAAAATTATTTTGCCAAGATTGGCGGTTAGTTTTTTTAAAATTTACGTCTGGCATTTAAAATTTTGAAATTGTTCAAAATATGGACCATAGGATGGCGACAGAAATAGTGTTCAGCCTTTTCCCTTACCTTCCTAACTTGTTTCCAGCCATTGTTAGACCATGGTTTACGGATGTGTGGATTTGAAGAGGACTTAGGAATACATCCATCAGCTATTTTATTTAATTCGTCAGAAAATAACTGTACAGGACCAGTAACGTCAATAAACAGACCAGGCTTTAATTTATTGGATGTAAGTATTTCCAGTTGGCTTGATCAAAACTCCATCTTGTTGAAGGAGGAACATCAGAAGGTGTCATAGGTTTTTAAATGGTAGGTTGTTGGTTGGTTTGTTGTTTTACGCCGAACTCAGAAATATTTCAGCTGTATGACGGCGGTCTGTAAATAATCGAGTCTGGAACAGACAATCCAGTGATTGATATCACGAGCATCGATCCACGCAATTGGGATACGACGACATGCTTCAACCAAGTAAGCGAGCCTGACCACCCAATCCCGTTAGTTGCCTCTTCCGACAAGCATAGTCGCCTTTTACGGTAAGCATGGGTTGCTGAAGACCTATTCTACCCCGGATCTTCACGGGTCTTTTTATGGCATCACTGTATATTCACATATGTTCACATGTATGTATGAGGTATATATTCCATATTGCATGTTTAGGCGTGTACCAATTACTTTAACCCATTCTATAATTACTACGCAGGTCACTTTTAAATAATATATAATACGTAACTCCTTTTTCGAGCAAATGTTATGATACTAAGTAATACTTACTCTTTTCTCTTTAAAACGGCCTTAAGGCCATCGGCCTAATTCATACCATGTTTTTTTTATGAGCAATGTAGTTGTGTACAGAAACACAATGAATACACTTCAACATATTTTAGAAATGAGATCAGTGATCATGAATTCACCCATGTTAATTGGTCAAAATAGTATATATATGAACAAAACACCCGTTCTTCTCTCTAAAAACACAAACATTCATGATAACATTTGTTCCAGTCAACAAAAAAACAAAACAGAAACATGTTTTGGTCGTATTTTGTTACTTTACCAACATCATTCATGCATTGTTCGACCTTTTTGTTCTCTTTTTAATACTCTAAGCTAATCCATGAAACTCAGGATATGATTTGAAAATCACCTTGTAACAGTAGGTCTTAACTGTTTGAATAAAGGTTTCTCTTAAATAGTAACTATCATTTCATACAAACTCGATTCATATAGATTATGTTACTAAATAGCTTCAGTTCTATTGACTTTCTGTTATAAATATATCACTTGCTTAATGGCCGTACACACGAGCTGTGAACCGATAACACTAATATTTCTAGACCTATACATGTAACAGCTGGTACCATCACTGCTCACCAGTCATCCATTTATATATTTTCTCTGCTATTATGCCTTTTACGCCCAATGGAATCTGTTTCGGCGGATAATCGAGACTGGTTACTCTCTGGCGTTGACGTTTAATAGTTATAGAATATAGTTAAAACTAATGAGTTCGTTGGTTAGGGACGTTTTGAACAGTAATTCAGTTATACCATGACGTGTCAACATAATGTCGGATGACAGCCCTTAATGACACAGCCCGTATAGGGTTTTCCAGTTTGTTGAGGTGAGGTGCGGTGAAATGGGGTTTAACGTCGCGTTCAAGATTATTGCCCTTATATAGCAACGTGCATGTACGTGTGTGTGTTTGTGTGGCTGCTTGTACTAGTAGGGACTGATGCCAATTTATAGTGCTAGGTAACTTGAGAAACCATGCCGCAGTTTAACATGAATACTTGAGTCAGACACAGTATACTGACTCCGAGCCGACCAGTCCTTGTTTTAGCCCCTTAATGCCGAGCGCCAGACAAGGTAACAACATGTACCATCTTATAACGTGTTTTGGTATGACGCGGCCGGGAATCGAACCCCGGACCTTCGGCTCTCCGGGCGGACGCTCTACCACTAGACCACGGAGGCGGTCATCAGTTTGTTGAAGTTCACGAGTAAGGACATTGTTACAACCAGGGAATTATAATCAGGGATTCCTACCCACGACCATTGGAATCTATGCATAGAAATTTGCAGCGCCTGAGGCGAGTGAGCAGCTCATGCAACCTCCACCCTTGGAACAAAGAGTGTATCAATAAAGACAAACACAAGATGTACATAGCAAGTCGTTCTGTATTTTCAACCACAGAAAAACTAAAATACTACATTCCATATTCTCTAAATACTGCAATAAAGCGACAAAACCCTTTCCATATCAAACAGAAATCTCTGCATAAAGCAGAGTAGATTTACGATTCCGACTATATCATGAGCATGTGTTTAGGAACCACTATCGAATAGTAATGATACCAGGTGTTCGCGAAAAGGTGAGCGTAGCCTGCTGCACCGGTGTCACCCGACACAAACACATGCAAAGGCAAGTTGATTGTTCACCTGAAAAAACACGGGAACATATGGTACAACACAAAATACCGAAATCCGAAATCATCCCTCATTGTTAAACGGCGTGGTACAGAGGTTGCCATCAGGTTAATTCCCATGTACAGATCCAGATAGCATTCTGAATATGTTTCCTCGGTTGTTCCTTTGATTTCCAAATTTGGTGGATAGAGGATGTGAAATAGGTCATCTATATATCTGAAACGTAGTTTGAACTTCTTGTCAACGTGTTCTTTCTTTGATTTGACAAAATAGTAAATGATCCCTATCGTATTCAAAGACAAACAGGTCTACTACTTGTCTAAATGTTCATACCGCCAGATTTCACAATCAGGAAGTCCAGCAACTCACATAGTTTGGTTTGTGAACATTTCTGAACACCTTACCACTCCTCTACCCCCCCCCCCCCAAAAAGAAACACTAACAACAAAAAATAAACAAAAACCCAACCCCAAAAAAACAAAACAACAACAACAAAAACCCAACAACAAAACAAAAACCAAACCAAACAAAAACAACAACAACAAACAAACAAAACAAAAACACAACAAAACCAAACAAACGAAAACAAAACAAAAACAACTACAAACAAACATTGAACAGCAACAATAAACACACAAAACAAAACAGGAGAAACAAAACCAAAAAAACCCACCAAAACAGGTATCCTATATATATGCAGGGAGTGATAAACTTCGTATAAATTATAACATCTTTGATCATGAGGCATTTAGAAGTTGGAGTACTAAGTAAGGATAAGATTTATGGATGAACAACTTCTTTATTACAATTTTAAAGCGAGACGTCCATCAACTCATCAAAGACCCCATTCAGCCATAAACCTTTTGTTTATATCACTGGCTTCACCCCTTGTTTATGTTACTGACTTCACCGATACACCGATACTATCCTTTTGTGTACATAACAGTGTCGTGCCGGGTTAGCGAAAATCCAATTTTCTCTAGTAACAGTATACGCATAACCTACATAACAGGCGACATCTGATATCTACTCTACTGTATAAACATCCCCCCCTACCTGTATACTTGTCAACCATACTCTGTATTTCACTTGCTTGATAACTGTGTTAGAACCTACACCGAAACGTCGCGTTTAATTGTAATAAAGAAGTTGTTCATCCATAAATTCTTATTCTTACTTACATCATAACAGTCATATCTTCAGTCTTTCCCACACGTATGTGCGGTGTAAACTTTTATTTTCACCATCCATACAATACATCTAGTGTCTGGTTACTCCAATGCCGCTTTACGTGTTATGCAAACACCGCCAGGCACCTGTTGCGCGTAAGTGTAAACAGCTGTAAGGGTAATAGCATTTTTGTGAACGAGAACTGGGCGAGATTGTGATATAGCTGTTCAAAATTTTTGGCGGAAGGAAAACATTATGTGAATGTTTACGGAAATAATCGCAGAACGGGTCCTCTGATCATGCGGGATCATGTCAAGTCCCCGAAAAACTCGACGAAAAGTAGAATTAGATGATGCTGTTGAACTTATTTCAAAGTGTAAGTTGAATGCGCACTCATTACACCGGTTGTCATTTGTCAACAAATATGCAAAATGTCTGCTTATGAAATTGATTAATCTTATCCAGATCTGTCTGGCCATATTTACCAGGCCTCAAGACAGGCATTTTAGATGAGAATGATTCTCCTGGTAGTCTTAATTCTAAACTTTCATCAGATCTACACGAGATGATATTTCGGTAGACAATGCATGACATGTCTTGATTGATGTTATGAGATGATATGACTCATAATCACTGCATGAGTATCGGATTCATAGTCAGACTCTTCGTGACTAAATATGAGACTGTGAACTGTTTTTGGTTTATTTGATGACATCATGGTAACACCATTTGTGATATTTACACCCATATTTCATGTAAATGCGGCTAATATTGTCGGAATGATCCGCTCATCATGTTGGATCATCAGTGACCAAACATACACTATGATGGCGTCCTGACGTTGTGTTCAGACACGTGAGACTGCACTATGGACAAAACTTATCAATAAACAGTAGTCATCTTTGATGACCAAAAGCATTTTTTACTATGAATCGTATTTTTCAAATTACAGACGTTTATTGCTATAGTATGTAGGCTAGTCTGGTAAAAACGTCTGCGTCTGCTCGCCTGAAACGCTATTATTTTTATTTTTGCATCATTTTCAGTAGAATTTATTGACTCTTAGCTGAGCGTAGTCAACCTAACAAAAATTTACAAGATTCAGCTTTTTGAGTAACGGAATAGTGGATACACATGATGAAGTCACAGACTGACCCGTGAAGATCCGGGGTAGAAGAGATGTTCAGCAACCCATGCTTGCTGTAAAAGGCAACCATGCTTGTCGTAAGAGTCGACTAACGGGATCAGGTGGTCAGGTTCGCAGACTTGGTTTAAGCATGTCATCGATCCCAATTGCGTGGATCGATGCTCATGATATCAATCACTGGATTGTCTGTTCCAGACTCGATTATTTACAGACCGCCGTCATACAGCTGAAATATTTCTGACTTCGGCGTAAAACAACAAACCAACCAAATAATAATATCCAACCCAAAATTGGCGACAGCAAGATAAACATGTCAACAAACATGGTCAACTGGATTCAATCAGTAAGGAATGCTACGCTCTCATATTATTGATCACTATATGTATCAAAGTGTATAACGCCCTGTTTATACATACACCATTAATCATGGTCATAATACACTCAGATACAGTGCCTCAATATGCCTTGGATATATATCACAGATTCCAAGTTAAGTGCTCTTTGCTCATTTTGCAAGCAAGATGGGAAAAGATCATTATTTTGTTAAAAATGGGGATTATTTCAAAGTTTTTGTTTTCAAAGGTAATTTGACGTTGCATCGAATGCAATAATGTAAAACTAAGCAAGAAAGCTCCTCCTTTTTGGCGCTGATGTTAGTGAAAAGGAAATACAAGTCACCTCATCAACATGGATGAACCATAACATTTAGTTATAGGCTAACTATAGTAACATGTATTGGGCATTTATTTATACCAATTTGGGAATCTTTACTGTCATTTTCAGTAGACGTAGGTCAGAATATCAGGATCTGAACATCATGAATAACATGAATACAGATGTATAGTGCATTTGACAAAAACAAGTTGATGTTTAGAATGTTTGGTGGGGTAATCAAGTGGTTACAGCTTTGACTTGACCCGCCCAAGTGCAAGCAGCGATAGAAATTGGCACTAGTCTCATAGTCCTTGCCAAACTGCCCAATAGATGAGGTATCATAAGGACAAATAGAAATTTGCCATTTTTAAGGGTTTTGTTCAATGTTATCATTATAAGGACTAGTGGACTGAACGTGTTAGTTTCTGTTGCTGGCCAGGTTTAATTCGCCAGTGAAGTCCAAGTCTTGGTGTGCTCTGTAATGGCTGGAATATTGCCTAGAGCAACAAAAAGTCACTCACTCAATCTGTATAACCCTCCTTTTTGGATTAGAAACATTCTAATTGGATCATTGGCCTCCTTTCAACAAGCTGGGCTTGACATTCATGGAAAATAGTCACAAGCCAATATGTCTGGTAAACAATAGAATCTGCTGGGCAAGTTTAAATACCACCTCCCGAATGTGTAAAGCGTTTCTGTTGTTGGATGTGGTATGACATGTATGAATCATGCTTATTGCAAGGAATTATCAAGAACTGCTCAGGGGCCAATATTTGGCCCCAAGTCAACAGCAAAATCATATATATTTTTTGGCAAAATGATTTTTTCCCAAATTGTCTGCCAAGAGCACTTTGATATTCCTGAATTCCTGCATTGTATTGAAAAGATATGAACTAATACAGTCGACAGTTGTCACTCATGACCATATTCTTCAGCCCTTGATTTATCCAATAAATTTGTAATGGTAGTGCATCATCCAACAAATACAGCAGAGTGCTATATTGTAAGATGATTACTGCAGGGATTTAGCTAGGATTCCAAATGAGGAGAAAATCGTTATTTTGTTGAAATTGGGATTTTTATGTCAGTTTCTTCAGATATTTTATTCCAATTTGGGAAGTTGTATTGACATTTGCTGCAAAAGGTAGGGCTGTATATCAGGTATATTGGCAAAATAACTTTTGCGATATATTTGGGAGCTTAAGTGTTTGACAGTGATTGACAGCCGCAAGTTACTCCTGTTATCAGTAGAGGACGTAACGTGTACGCGAGTCGGCTCTCCCGTCTCGCGTACAAGTGACCACCTGAGAGGGGTCACTCGTATGCGTGACGGCCTGTCAGTGAACCATGGATTTCTGCATGTTGCACAAAAATGTCTCTACAAGCGTTATTTGTGAAAATAATAAAACAAAATTAAGTACAGTTATTGATCATTACACTAGTTATCGAATGATATTAAAAATATCTTAAGAAAAATAATAAACGGTCAAATTGGGAGGAAAATGTGCAAAAATTGAGCAAAATGTTCTGTTTTTGACAGCGATTTTGTCCTATGTACATATTTTTCAGAAACTAATATGTAGTATTTTCTGAAAGCTCATTCATCGTAGAGTTACAAAATATATGAATTATTTCACGCACACCAACGCACACCTGTTTTCCATCGCGTTGAAACATGTTTACTTTCTTCAAAACTGTGCGAACAGTCTCGCGAACAAGTGACTGGTCGACAAGCCGATAAAGGGAGGTAACCGATGCCTGACTTAAATGTTCAATCGGAACATCCGTCTTGTTACACTACACTGGTTATTACAATATCTAGCATCTTCCAGCTACAAAAGTGTTCATTGTGTATCTTAACTTTTGTTTGTAATCCATTATGTTACTTTTATCCAAGATTTCATTCAATTTGGTTTACATTAACTTCAACGAAATCGTGTGTGAACTGATCAGAAAATCACATCAGCATGATCAACTCACCATGAACTCGCCTTGAAACGAAATTTCGTTTTAGGTATGATATTGGCCATGACATTAAGTATTTTTGAAACTATATCCCCCATAGATAAGGGAGAAAATGTGTGAACAGCTATATCCGTCTTATTTTACGAGACAAATACACATGTAATCTTAATCTTTGAACATGAAACATTGCCTGCCCTACAGTACACAAAAATCAATGAATTTATAAATTATCATGTCTAGTGATGTTTTATCATAAATTTTATTTTTTTATTGACCAAATTTGCAAACGGCAAAACAAACACACAAACTCCTATTACTGCCATGACCATAACACGAGATGCGCAGTAAAGCAGTTGGCATGTAAGGGGAAGTAACTGCACGCTATATTAGATCACATTTTTTTTTACGTACTGTAGCATTTCACTGCCAGGGTCGTGTTCAAGACGTAGAATATTGAAGGATTTAATTTGTGGGAAAATGGAAATACAAACAAAACATGCAGCTGACTTTATCATGATATGAACCAAGACTATTATCTTTAAAGCCCAAAGACAAAACTTGGAATTTCTTTCTTACACAATATATCGGACCACAGAAACAATATTGCAATACGGTTTGTTTGAAAACCATATAGCAGGATACTGGTAATACCATGCTGTCCTTGTCAGCTGATAGTAAAAATGCATCTCCTAGGTTAATGTTAAGGTACCATATTCAGAGCTCCAGATAAGCTTTTGGTGTGGTGGGTATTTTACGCATGCATTTTAAAATCATTGGTTATCAATAATTCTATCTGGGTATTCAAATTTCTGTTACCCACTAGTTTTTACACATGTGGGTATTTAAGTTAAATATTTAAGAACACTATTCATCTAGTCCCTGCAAACTGGTGTCGTGTGGGTTCGAGAGCTTTATAGGACTCAAAAATACCACGATACTTCCACAAGAAAGTGTGATGGCAAATGATTATGATGTAACTGTCATCATGGAGTTTGGCAAGGTTGACAGAATGTCCGTTTATAATTTCAAAATAAGTTGCTGATTTGCTAATCGAATACGCCGGGTTACTTCACAATATTTTGATGATACGCACAAGTTTTATTTTTGTAGCGTATCTGTAATGTTCGTTTGGTTTTATTTTACTGCATATTTCTGCATTTCTGATGCATATTTTACGCAGATACGCAGCTTATCTGGAGTTCTGGTATTCATGTTGATTGATTGTTCCTTGGCCTCAGTTTGTGATGGTTTGTCTGCAGGCGACTCCAGCACCAAGGTTCGGGGTAACCTTCAGCTTCAGCTGGCTCTGGACACCATCCAAGATGTGGCAGAGACAGAAGGCCTGCAGCCTGCACAGATCACCACACTGCTGGACAAGGCAGCCAGTAGTGTCTTAGGTGAGTGTGGGGTCCTTGGTATGTCACTGGGTAATACTAATAGGTGAGTCTGTAGGCTCCTTGGTGAGTCAGCAGGGTGCTAGATGAGTCTGTAGGCTCCTTGGTATGTCACAGGGTCCTAGGTGAGTCTGTAGGGTCCTTGGTATGTCACAGGGTCCTAGGTGAGTCTGTAGGGTCCTTGGTATGTCGCAGGGTCCTAGGTGAGTCTGTAGGGTCCTTGGTATGTCGCAGGGTCCTAGGTGAGTCAGTAGGGTCCTTGGTATGTCACAGGGTCCTAGGTGAGTCTGTAGGGTCCTTGGTATGTCGCAGGGTCCTAGGTGAGTCTGTAGGGTCCTTGGTATGTCGCAGGGTCCTAGGTGAGTCTGTAGGGTCCTTGGTATGTCGCAGGGTCCTAGGTGAGTCAGTAGGGTCCTTGGTATGTCGCAGGGTAATAGGTGAGTCTGTAGGGTCCCTGGTGAGTCAGTAGTGTCCTAGTTGAGTCAGTAGGGTCCTCAGTGAGTCAGTGGGGTGCTAGACCAGTCGGTAGTGTCCTAGCTGAGTCAGTAGGGTGCTAGACGAGTCCGTACTGTCCTAGGTGAGTCAGTAGGGTGCTAGAGGAGTCAGTAGGGTCCTTGGTGAGTCATTAGGGTGCTAGACGAGTCGGTAGTGTCCTAGGTGAGTCGGTAGGGTCCTCAGTGAGTCAGTAGGGTCCTCAGTGAGTCAGTAGGGTCCTCAGTGAGTCAGTAGGGTCCTCTGTGATTCAGCAGGGTCCTCAGTGAGTCAGTAGGGTCCTCAGTGAGTCAGTAGGGTCCTCTGTGATTCAGCAGGGTCCTCAGTGAGTCAGTAGGGTCCTCAGTGAGTCAGTAGGGTCCTCTGTGATTCAGCAGGGTCCTCAGTGAGTCAGTAGGGTCCTCAGTGAGTCAGTAGGGTCCTCTGTGATTCAGCAGGGTCCTCAGTGAGTCAGTAGGGTGCCAGATGGTCAGTAGGGTCCTAGGTGAGTCAGTAGTGTCCTGGGTATGTCTGTAGGTTCCTTGGTGAGTCAATAGGGTGCTAGATGCATCAGTAGGGTCCTCAGTGAGTCATTAGTGTGCTAGACGAGTCAGTAGTGTCCTAGGTGAGTCAGCAGGGTCCTCAGTGAGTCAGTAGTGTCCTTGGTAAGTCAGTAGGGTCCTCAGTCAGTCATTAGGTTGCTAGACGAGTCAGTAGTGTCCTAGGTGAGTCGGTAGGGTCCTCAGTGAGTCAGTTGGGTCCTCAGTGAGTCAGTAGGGTCCTAAGTGAGTAAGTAGGGTCCAAGGTGAGTCAGCAGGGTCCAAGGTGAGTCAATAGGGTCCTGGGTATGTCTGTAGTATTATTGGTGAGTCAGTAGGTGTCTAAGATATGTCAATAGGGCCCTATGTGGGTCATTAGGGCCCTAGGTGAGGTCTTTGAGTCAATCATGGTCTTTGTGACTAATCAGTAGAGACCTAGGTGAGTCAATAGTGCCCTTATCGCACATGCTTCAAACTTTATACCCCATTTCAGTTAATTTCCCTTGCAGGAGGGGTTCATTTGTTGTGCAAATTAATTACGTCCACTCTCAGTTTCTTGCCATAAGGACAATATTTTCAGGTAAAACCCTGAACATGAATCACTTGCAAGAACCAGTATCAGCTATGATCAGAGAGGCATGTACAGTTGCTGATCCACACCTGAATGATTTCTGTTACAGTACAAACGGTGAGCTCTCGGCTGATCCGATGTCTGATCCCGAGAGTGTTTGTCCCGGAGAAGGCGGTGGTGAAGGCAGTGTCATGGATGTGCACCAACAAACCCTCCACTACAATACAGGTTTGTTTGTTCACAACACAATGCAGTTTGTTTCTACTATACTGGTACATCATTTGGATACAAGGGTCACAGTGGTTGGTGACATCCAGGTTGAAAACTCCTCCAAATATATTGCCAGGCCAAGACTAACCTTGGGGGGATGATGATGATGATGATGATGATGATGATGATGATGAAATTAATCAGGGAACAGGATATATAGAATATACATCAATTCCTGTTACAACAAGCTGACAGTAGGTTTGTTTGTTTGTTTGTTCTTTAACGCTGCACTCAACAATATTCAAGCTATATGATGGTGGTCTGTAAATAATCAAGTCTGGACTAGACAATCCAGTGATTGACGCTATGAGCACTGATCCACACAATTGGGATACGATGACATGCATCAACCAAGATGTGTTAAATAGATGCTGAGGTAAATTCACAGATTTCTGTGTTCTAACACTTGTGATTTGCCACAGAGTCTGCTGGTGAGATGGGTGCTGCTGATCTACGACCACATGGACACCCACAACAAGCTGCACAACCTGTACGGCATCCTCTTCTACTTCCTGGAGAACCAGACCCTGGTAGGCACAGTTACCTCCCTTCAACAGATCAGGCACAATACATAGACCACAATAAATTAGTTTTTTGTTTTTATGCTGAGATGGAATCCATTTTTTTAATTAATATTTTTGCTAACCATCTATTCATTGCTATTCAAACATCTGTGTAGATTGTTGAAAGATGTGATTCACATGAATCATGAATGTTTGAAGGAGTTCATTTGGTGAACTTCAACAAAGAAGTACATACATAGTGATTTTCTTTTTTCATCTGTAAAAAAAATGTCCTTATGGTCCCCAGCCATAAAGTATGGCCGGGGATATAGGAACAGAGTTTGTCTGTCTGCTTCTCAATGGGGACAAATTTACTCAATAACTATTGAAGTTAGGTAAGGTTGGTGAAATGGGTTTTAACGTGTGTGTGTTTGTGTGACTGCTTGAACTAGTCCGGACTGATGCCGATTTATGGTGCTAGCACACTGAGATACAATGCCGCAGTTTAACATGAATACCCCACTCAGACACAGTATACTGACTCCGAGCCGACCAGTCCTTGTTTTAGCCCCTTAATGCCAAGCACCAGACAGGGTAACAACAAGTACCATCTTTAAACGTCTTTTGGTATGACGTGGCAGGGATTGAAACCCGGACCTTCCGCTCTCCGGGGCGGACGCTCTACCACTAGACCACAGACACGGTCAATTGAAGTTAGAGAAATGAACTTTTACACACTGATGCTACTGATCATGCTGATCACTATCTCAAATGCGTTCCAAAAGTGGTTTCTTAACTTCATGTTTTGCAGAGTTAAGGCCCTTGCTCCTTGCTTTTGTGCTTTGTTCACATACTGTGTGAAATGGGAACAATTTTTCTCAAAAACTACATGAAAGTCTCCATGCTCATAAGAGATACCTATTTTTGAGTTAACGGTAACTTCCATATTATTCACTCCTATATCAACAAACAAAATTTTGGGTGCCCTGGGGCGGGGCATTATGTTAACTGTTTTCTTGTTCTGGACTGTGTAGCCATGGTAACTGTCATCCGAGCTGACCAATGATCTCTTTGAAGCCAGGGATCTCTGATCATGCTGATCAGCTGTTTCTGGTGTTAATTGATATGTTTACATTGTGATGTGATAGTTTAGTTACTCACAGAATACTTTGGTTTGAGTAACTGTTCAGGGATGTATGAAGACCTGCTGTTTGTCCCCAAGTCTGCAGCAAAGGCTAGAAACAATTCCCAATTTGAATTTATGTTTTCCCATTTCCTCAGAATTTATGAAAATAAGAAAATTAAAAACATCCAATGTTGAACAATATCACAACTTTTACCCAAGCTGCCTGCCAAGAGCACTTAGTCAGGAGTCCTAAAAAATCCCTGCTGTTAAACCATTTCACCGTCTCTAAAATGAATGTCTTGATTCAAAACACCAGAATTAATTTGAAGGCATCCAGAACAGTGGTGGAAAGTGAGGGGTTCCTGGGGTCCTTGTTGGCTGCTGTGAATGTTCAGTTTGTAACATCAGTATATATGCTGGTTATGGCAATGACTAGCCTAGTCTGCTAGTCTACAACCACATAATTGTTTCTTGGCATCATTTTCAACAGATGTTTGTATTTATGTATGGACTATTGCTATAAGTTTGTTTGTTTGTTTGTTTGTTTGTTGTTTAACGCCGCACTCAGCAATATTCCAGCTATATGACAGCGGTATGTAAATAATCGAGTCTGGACCAGACAATCCAGTGATTGACATCATGAGCATCGATCCACGCAATTAGGATACAATGACAAGCATCAACCAAGTCAGCAAGCCTGACCACCCGATCCCGTTAGTCGCCTCTTACGACAAGCATAGTTGCCTTTTACGGCAAGCATGGGTTGCTGAAGACCTATTCTAGCCCGGATCTTCACGGGTCGACCATAACTAAGTGAGCGTACTAGATCAAACCAGAATTTGCTTTTGTGCTGATGGTTAAGCCTAATGTCACCATACATTGTTTGACTGAGACATTGTTTGACTGTATGATTGTTACAGTTCCCCTACATCTGCCATCTGCTGTACCAGCTGACGAGGAAGGAGGATGTAAAGATGTTCCGTGTGCGGAGACTCCTCTTTCTGCAGAATAAATATGTAAGATTTATAGTTTACATAGCCTTGAAAAGTGCTTGAATTTCAGAGTTGGTCTTGAAAAGTTAAAGTTGAACTATCATGTGTCAATGTTCCAAGTATTCCAAGGATCTCAGCCGTACACCGTAGGTCTACTGTCGCTGTACAAGTTGTACTATCAAAGTGACATGTGTCAATGTTCCATGTATTCCAAGGATCTCAGCCGTACATCTTAGGTCTACTGTCGCTGTACAAGTTGTACTATCATGTGTCAATGTTCCTTGTATTCCAGGGATCTCAGCCGTACATCGTAGGTCTACTGTCGCTGTACAAGTTGTACTATCATGTGTCAATGTTTCTTGTATTCCAGGGATCTCAGCCGTACATCGTGGGTCTACTGTCGCTGTACAAGTTGTACTATCATGTGTCAATGTTTCTTGTATTCCAGGGATCTCAGCCGTACATCGTAGGTCTACTGTCGCTGTACAAGTTGTACTATCATGTGTCAATGTTTCTTGTATTCCAGGGATCTCAGCCGTACATCGTAGGTCTTCTGTCGCTGTACAAGTTGTACTATTATGTGTCAATGTTCCTTGTATTCCAGGGATCTCAGCCGTACATCGTAGGTCTACTGTCGCTGTACAAGTTGTACTATCATGTGTCAATGTTCCTTGTATTCCAGGGATCTCAGCCGTACATCGTAGGTCTACTGTCACTGTACAAGTTGTACTATCATGTGTCAATGTTCCATGTATTCCAGGGATCTCAGCCGTACATCGTGGGTCTACTGTCACTGTACAAGTTGTACTACCCGAACCTGGTGTCGGTCCCTGTTTCAGCAACCAGAAAAGTAAGATTAGCATCTTTATAATTACATGACGTCATGTCAAGGGTACTTAATAGGTGCAGGGTTTTGCCTTGACCTACCAACCTGGAGGACACCCAATAATTAATTTCAAAGGTCCTGTAAAGTAGTGAAGAGGATTAATATACTTTACTGTAGGATTTGATACTTTATTTACAGGACCTTTATACTTTTGATGAAGAATTTGGTACAAGGAATATATTTTTGCTTCACTGGGAATCCAATATTATTTTTTCACATCCATTCTGTACATTTGTGTATTCAGGGCCCACTTGCACAAACCGATCTTAGCGCTAAGACTATTGTAAGCCAGTGTTAAAGTATGGGAGTTACGATCATCTTAGCGCTAAGATCACTTTGTGCAAGTGGGTCCATGACACACATTTCTGCATCGTGTAAAACCCTGTAGGTGTATTGTTTCATTCCTGTGGTAAAATCCTTTGCTTGTCATACCAAAGACGCAAATTTGATTTGAATTCTTTTTCACTTGTAATCACCATTTCTTGCGAGGACTTTACCATTTGTATTTTTCCTGAAGTATACCTGACTTGAAGAGACAAGTGGGTAACCATGGTAACCATTAAGAACAGATAATATTAATGATACCTGTAATCATGGTAATCAGATGCACCGCCCATAACTGGTCACTAATGCAATAGTGTTTTAATTAGTGCAACAGTAGTTAACCCACCTCAATAATAGGTGACTGTACCACATGTTTAGTGAAGTAATATTTAGAATAAGAAAGGGTTTACTAGGTTAACACTGCAAATCTTTGGTTTCAGTTTTATAATTTGAATATGGTTGATGATGAGTTTCACGTGAACTTAAAATGTCCATTGTATGCTTATCTAAGAAAGCTATATATATATCCCCCAAATCTAGAGAAAAATGTAATTTTGAACAATTCTGTTTTTTTATGATGGATACTAATAATATGATTGTTACAAATTTGTCCAAATGCTGTTAAAGAGCTATTTTGATCCGAAAAAATTCTTGTAAACGTCATATATACTGAACATGTACATCCATTACTCACCTTAACATTATGTAACCTATATATGTGGGCCATGGTCATGTATTCAATAAACTGGATTGAATTTGTATGAACAGAATGACTTGTAAAACAAGGTACCTAAATAATTGTATACACTTGTACACAACAGTGAAAAACTTATCTGTTTCACCACATACAGGGATAGAAATTAGCATTAGCCTGCTAGCCCGAGTCAGTTACTCTAATGTTGAAGTTATCTTAAGGGCTAGTAGAATTTCGAACACTTTGTTGATGTTCCTTCCTGTTATCACGATTCCAGCTAGTAGACTTTCCAGGTTCATTTCTGACCCGTGAAGATCCGAGGTAGAATAGCTCTTCAGCAACCCATGCTTGCTGTAAAAGGCGACTATGCTTGTCGTAAGAGGCAACTAATGGGATCAGGTGGTCAGGCTCGCCAACTTGGTTGATGCATGTCATCGTATCGTAACATCATGAGCATCAATCCACGTAATTGGGATACGATGACATGCATCAACCAAGTCAGAGAGCCTGACCACCTGATCCCATTAGTTGCCTCTTACGACAAGCATAGTCGCCTTTTACAGCGAGCGTGGGTTGCTGAAGACCTATTCTACCCCAGATCTTCACGGGTCTCATGCAATAACGGATGGAGTTTTGGATGATGTTTTTGTGTTGATAAAGGTGTCCTGAGGTGTAAAAGTTAAACATTGTTGATATTCTCCATGTTACAGATTTTCTTCAAGAGCCATGACCGGAAGTGGGTGGAGGTGATCAAGAGGGTGCAGGAGAAGGCGCTGTCAGAGCAGGGGCTGAGTATCACGGTTCAGGAATCCCAGCTCAGCAAGGCAGGAGCTGGCCCTGGAGGAGGAGCTGCTAAAAGGATCAATACCAGCGCAGTGATGTCGGTAAGATAACATGGCATCTCATTCTGACCTGCAGGCAATGACCCAGTCTCCTGTATCTGGCTGTCTAAGGCACAGCTTTCACTTCCAGACTTGCATCCCTTAGGTGTGCCAGAAGCCTTTGATGATGGGTTTGAATGGCAGATTTGTCCTGTGGTATTGCCATACTGAGCAGGGTTAAACCAAACTCACTCACTCACTCACTCACTCACTCACTCACTCACCCACCCACCCACCCACCCACTCACTCACTCACTCACTCACTCACTCACTCACTCACTCACTCACTCACGCGACCCGTGAGGATCCGGGGTAGAATAGGTTTTCAGCAACCCATGCTTGCCGTATAAGGCGACTATGCTTGTCGTAAGAGGCGACTAACAGGATCGGGTGGTCAGGCGCGCTGACTTGGTTGATGCATGTCAACTCCCTCAGTCACTCTATTTACTAGGGCTGTTACGAATCGCTCACGTATTTCGGTGAATCAAACCCTATCCCTTCGTGAATTGAACTTGTTAATCGTGGTCACTAGATTCAAATATTTGCAACAAAATTCCAAAGACTTGAAGTTGGCTGTTATTCATCAAAGCAAAACATGCAAAATGGAATATATACAAGACATACAGCAGTCTGTCGTGTGGGTCATCTATAACTCTGACTCCGGCTGATTGTTCATAACCATGATAACGCTCATCAGTTATTTGAACCCCAAAGGTAGCGTTATAGCAAGCGATCACTGTATTTTTTTGCAGCCATGGTTATGCAGTTATGCAGTGTGTGCACATACCTGTACCTAAAAATATCCATAAGAACTGATTGTAGGCATACGTAGATTTCTTCAAACAGGTCAAAGACTGCGTTCTTATGTATTAAATTTGACAGTAATGTGGTCACTGGCCATTTTCGCATTTGAGCAGATACTAGTACCTGGATAAATACAGTATATAAATGTATAATATAATAATCAACTGCTGACTTGTTCTATATATTCATATTCGCTACTCTATATTCGTGATACGTATCGTATCGCCTTATAGTGTATTCGTTGCAGCCTACTATTTACTCATCTATCTTTGACAGAGGTCCAAGCGGAGACGTATAATCACTCCAGCTGTGCATTCGTCATCTCTGGATGACAACAAGCAGAGTGACAACGTCCAGCTCATGATTGACCACATCACTGTGCCCTTCGTCAGGGTGAACTCCTTCAAGGAAATGCTCAACCAAATCGACAGAATTGAGGTAATGTACTCAGAAAAAGCATTAATATTGTGTTCCAATTCAAATGTCAGTGACTGTAATACAATTTTTGATTTGCATGGCCTTGACTTTTGGTCAAAGAGCTTTGAATAGGCCTTGAATATTTTACTGAAATTCTGTTGGATGCTGTCAGCTAGCATCTTCCTGAGGCAAGGGAGTTAACTGACAATAAAAGTCCAGTTTCCACCCTTGGGTGGAATTTCTGGGCTTGATCGTAGTACCGCCAGTGGTTATTATGAGTTATGTCCCTTCTAAGCCTCTCTTATGGACCAATCAGATTCCATCTCTTGTATCACTTGCATTTGCTTCAAACAAAATCGCGGCACCCAGTCAAGACGGTCTGATGAATAATCAAGATCTATATTGTGACAAAACAGGTCTTACATCGCAAAGAGCATGAAATCACGTGAGCACCTTGATTATAAACATAAAACATTTGGAAAATATCTGCTGAGGCCAAGTTGGGGGTGCACAGCCTTTGCAAATCTTGCAATCGACCAAAATCTGCACAACAGTTTACAAACCAGATTTCGATTTCGGTGCACAATTTTGATTGGACTATGCATAGACTCGTTAGTCCAGCCAAAATATAACTCCATAATACCAGCCTAGTTCCGTAAGCGTGGAAACTGGACTTTTATAGCCAGTTAACTCACTTGCCTCGGGAAGATGGTCAGCTAGTTGTAGACCTAAAACCAGTGTTAAAATCACCACACATTGAATAGTCAGCAGCGGTAACATCCACAAGTCTGAGGACACATAATGTTTAATTGACATTGTACAATACAAAGGTAATTAGTAATTTTTATTTTTTTTTAATTTGGGGACGAGAGAAAAAGATTGTTATCAAGAAAAGAATACGTACTTATTAAAAAAGTCTAGCAGATTTCCGGGATCCAATCCCTTTCAGAAACATATTTTTATCCTTTCAGATAGTAGCCATGGTAACACATTCATATTCATGCCTTTTTTTACAGTTCCCGAGCCAGATAGCGGCGGCCCTCCAGGACCCTATACTGCAACACGTGGTGGCATACTCGGCTGACCAGATAGTTGCCCTGCGGTTCAGCTACTGGCTGCAGCATACTCTCATTGAAGGTCAGACACAGATATTTCTTGTGCAATCTCCAGGACAGAAATATACGTTTTTGAACTCAAAACGATGTTTAGGCATGGCCTTTGGAATTTAAGTATGTCAACAAGAAGAAACAAACAAATATATGGCTGTATTAAGTTTTATTTGATGTTTTATCCTTCATTTGTCCATGGGGTTTCTGGATAAATAGAAAGGCAGTGAGAATAAGTGATAATGTGAAATTTAGATAAATATTGGCAAATTATGATGTATTTTAAAAGAAATGTGAATAAGTTTTCTCATTATTTTTGTGGTCAAGTCATTGTGTATTTGTGGTTATTGACATCATTTAGGTATTGGGTACAGGCTTTCAGATGGCCCTCGGTCACCGGTCATAGACCGATAAACTTTCTATTTAACCGATGGTTTGTTTAAGTTGTTGGACTTTTGACCGATAGAAATGCTAAGCAAGGCATCACACGTGTCATAATTTCATGATTAAATAGTAAATAGTAAGGATTATTCCACTTAGGGTATCAATTTGGAGCCATCGATTTTAATGCTCTCAAAAAGTATAGTGCCAATCGAGACTCAGTTGTCCTTGTGTCTGGGGGATGGGGGGTGAAGTTGATGGCAGTATTGCTCCCAGACCCGGCAGGTAACTGGGTGTGCGGAAGCTATGCCCGACTTTTTAAAAGTACTGATTTAACTTCGAAATTTTACTGCATCCGGCATCTTTGTTTAAGTGACTTATTGACTTTTGCCACTGACTTATTACATTTCTTGGGTCCAAGTCATTGACCTGTATACAGCTTTTTGTGTCAAAATCACTGGGGTAACATCACCCAGACCCATTCAGGCTTCATCATGTTCATCAAGGGAAATGTTGGCATCAGCTGTCTGTCACTCATTGTATATTTTTGAAGGATTTTAGTCCTGTTAATTGTGTATGTTGTGTTATTTTCAGAATTTTTTGATCTGCCGAGAGAGAATCGTGATGAGAAAGAAAAGTTTCTTGACCTGCTCATTAATTTCACCGACTTCCTTCAGGTGAGTGGATCCGAGAAGCTAGCTAGTTGCCATTTGCATAATTGTAAACATTATACAACCAGGCGTCAGATAACTTTTGTAGCCATTGAGTATGTACTCACATAGTCACAAGTATTCATTCACATTGGGTATTGACATGTTTTTTTGGGTATTCAATATATTTTTACTCCCTTGGGTCCAGTCAATGGGTATATTTTACCAATGAGTAGACTTTTAAAAAAAGATCTGCTTGAAATACTGTTTGAGGTGACTTCGAACAGTACCTGTTTGAATACTCCGTAAGTGTCTTTACATGTTGCAGAAATCTCAACAGCGATATACATGTCAACGAGATGTAGCACGTATGTGGTGTGTCTGTATTCAGTCAGTTTATAAAGATCAGAAAAGAAATACAGGTACAGTTAAGTCTCGTTAATCTGACATCGTTGGTTGCACATGATTGTGTCGGATTAACGAGTATGTCGGATTAACGAAATTAAGTGATTTGTGATCGAAAATCGGACATCTTCACGATAGATAATAACCGTGTGTTTCCTCGTGTAAATGCAAGTGCTACTGTCTTAACAACTTGCTTCATCTACTTAAAATAGTCTGTCAGTGTTTTCTGTTTCTCACATTTTGAAGGCACATTTCTCAAAGTCCCCTGTTCGCTTGATGTCTAGGGCTGGTGGTTCTTCAGCATCAACATTGTCGAGGTGTAATTTTTATTTGTTTCTTATAATAAAGCTTGAAATTCTTTATGATCCCGGCATCTAGTGTTAATTGTTAAAGTTAATCTCTGCAGCCAGTGCGTGTCAAAACACGGGGTTGTGTACTCGCGGGCAGATGACCACGGAGTACGCTGACCACTGTGTCGGATTAACGAGACTGATTAATGAGTGATTTCGGTAATTCGTTGCAAATTAGGTGTGTCGGAGTCGGAGTGCGAGAATGTCGGATTAACGGGACTAAATAGCGCTGAATCAATCGGTTCCCATCATTTGTGTCGGATAAAGCCGAGTGTCGGATTAACGAGTGTCGGATTAACGAGACTTGACTGTACTCAAGTGTTCATATACCTTTGGCTTTTTGGATGTTTTCATGCTTATGTGTACACAAACAACTCAAAATTAATTGGGTTTGGTGATTTATTGTGTATGTTTTACGCCAATCCGCAGGTTATCTGGACCTCTGACAACGCTGTCACTAACAAGTTTGTTGAGAACACTACCAACCGCAAATTGCTATTCAGATTCTACGTCATTCCCTAGTGCTTGTATGTTACCTGGTGATCACTAAAGGCATCATCACAACATACTGTACCGTGCTTGCTGACACACCGTCATGTAGCTGAAGTGCTGTTCTAAGTAACGTAGAACACAACACACTCACAAAAAGCAGCCCTCCTTTTCAAAGAACCTCTATCTCCATCAATAACTTGGATAATAGTATTAAGACAGTGCATTCCTCCTTGTCCAACAGCTGGCCAACAGTTAATCCCTAGCTTGTTTGTTTAAAGGGCAAGTTCACACGGAAATGAACCTATTTTTCTTGTACTTTTTCCACATTGAAAATGTTAACCTAGAAATGTCATAGACAAAAATATAAAAATATCATAATTAATTAACATATTTTTCGCATTAAAACTATTTATATTTTTCACATTAACCAAGTGTTCTATTTCCATAACAAAAACACCATGGCTTATCCCCCTTGCAATATGACGTCATTGGTGCCAATTGATAAACATTATGACGTCATCATGCTTTGTTAGAGCCGCTTCACGTGGTGTAGGTACAGGTGTGTGATTCTTGCGTCTCAGATGCCAGCCAGCATAGTGTTATGCTGAGTCACCACTGCGCCGGAGTGTGTCGTAGGCCATGTTGTTTTACCGCAAACTGGCACTTGATATCTTTTGCGTTGAGAATAGACAGGGACCCAGTTGAGATGGCACCAATTACGTCATAATGTAAGGGGGATAACTCAGGCCTGTTTAGCTCGAAAAAACGAAGGCCTCATAACGGCATATCATTTTCACACGATTGTGAGCTTCCTACTTTCACTGTGAAAAAATGAGTGTATATTTTCAAACACAGATACTAGCTAATTCTAAAATTGCGTTTTGTTTAGAAAAAGAAAGAAAGTGATTTTTGCGTGTACACTTCCCCTTTAAGTGTTTGAGCCATCTCAAAAAGTGTTTGGGATTCGTGGGGTTGGTCCCATGGGGGTTTGTAACAGAAATTAGAGACTCAAGTTTTTATCAATTGATATCTGATTCTACCATGAATTTGGAAACTACTTGATTCTGATTGGTCAGTCAGAGCCTATTACATCACAATAAACCCCCTCTGATTGAAACAACTGGTTTGACGTCTGCTTCACCGCGGAAACTAATATTCATAGAATAGTTTGTTTTTCAGTCATTGTTGGTAGGCCTATTCAAATAATTATATCTACAATTACAGGTTGCACAATGCAAAGTTGCGGTTTCTTCAATATTCCAAGAATATGTGGCAATACATTTCGTGCAGAAAACGTGATAGAAATCTTCAAAGAGAATGTATTTTAAGTTTGGGGGACAACAGAGAGCTTGGAATATGACGCTTCTCTATATAAACTTACACGTCATATCTTTTGCATCACAATGAGCCATTTTACGTCATAATGGTGACGTGCGGTGTAGAACGAAAGCTTTGCAAAGCTTCCTTAGTTTTCTTTAGGCTTGCCCACCTGATGTTAGTTGACCAAGTAGCTGTGCTCACCCGGTATATATGCTTTCAATGCCTGTCATATGTTTTATTTTTTGAGTGACGTATTACGGCGTACACAAACTGCTTGAGCATATACAATGCCAAATTTTATCTACAGTCTGTTGTCGGTGATTCCGTAATTCAGATCAAGAACCAACTCAAAACACTGGACTCAACCCATGCCGCTTTACTCAGTATATTTGCTAACACCAAAGAGTTCACGTTTTATTTAGTCATGTTAATAGAGAGTAACATAATACTCGCTCAGTTCAAAATTCAATTTAGCGCAGTTAAATCTACAGGTAACCTATCTCTACATTGAAAACACAGTATGTTTATCTCCTAATTGTTATGTTAATCATTTCAATACATTTCAATACAACACCAAACTTGTACGCATACAACATTTGTTCATGACATGAACTTGTTGGTTGGTTGGTTGCATGGATTGATGCACATGATGTCAATCACTGGATTGTCTGGTCCAGACTTGATTATTTACAGACTGCCGTCATATAGCTGGAATATTGCGTTTAACAACAACAACAACAAAACAAAAAATGTTTAGCTATAATGGAACATGCAACTAATGAGGAAAGTTCTATTATTTTGCCAAGACATGAAATAAAAATGAACATAATTACTTTTAATAAAAATGAAAGTGCCCGTGAGGCACAGTACATAAAATTCAAGTTAGCCATTTCCCATTTTATGTCTTCATGTCACTAGGGGTCGATTTTCACCCATTCTCTGTGGATGTTTAATTTTTTCAATTGGACACTGCTCATGAATCATGTAATTTCTGAGAAATTATTTAAGGGGATGGGGTCATGTGAATGGTTAACTCAAAGAAAGATATATCCCAATCATGTCGGTCGAATGACATGACCAGGGGCCCATCTGTGATGTTGTGGACAAGAACAGCATCCATATTTTCACATAAATCGCCACAAAATGAGGCAAATGGAAGCCTAGATTTATTCTCAGAATGCAGGAAAAAATGTTCAAGTGATGAAAGGAGTTTTTTTCGTAGTCCAGGGTAACTCAGTTGCTATGTGACCTTGGTATGTCCTCTTCGTGGCCTCGATCATTTATTTGTAGGCCAGTTAGTTGGAAAGGGGCAAGTAACTTTTGAAAGGAGCAAGCACTGCTGGCTGTGTACAAATTTGTTGTTAAATCTACCCCTGTGTTGGTTTTAAATATGTATCAAAACTGTTTGGAAACATGTTGTTTTTCACTGACGTACCAATTCCTATCAGTATACATATACATAAACATTTCAAATGTTTGTCTTTATTTCAGGAATAAGTTCTTGAACACCCAGCGTTAGAAACTGGCACTAGTCCTGTAGTCTTTGCCAAACTGCCCAATAGTTAAGGTATCCCAAGGACTAGTAGAAATTTGCCATTATTAAGGGTTTTGCTGTATGTTATCATCATAAGGCCTAGTGGACTAACCCCGAACACCTCGGTTCCCAACACAGATAGCCCCAGTAACTCGTGTGTGTTGTGTTACAGGAGGGCATCCCGGTGGTGGACATGTTTCTGCAGAGATTCCTGCTGACGTGGAACGGCTCAGACTACAGGCAGCATATACTCAGACTCATCTCCAGGTGTCGGATATACCCCTATGGTGGTATGTGTCAGAAAGTCCTTTGTTGTAGGTTGGGATATAACTGACAACATAATATCCACTGCGGATTCTGGATCTTTTACCATTTATTATGCATATATATAGAGAATCTCACCCGAGTGTCTTTTGATATCAAATATAGCAACACGAGTTGATAAAAGTGGAAAAACTCTGAGGCTTGCAGAGGGTGAGATTTTATTTATTATCCAACATCATTCTTCCAACTTTTTCAGTTTGTAGACAGAAATAAGCAGTGTCTTAAGTGTAAAAAGTACTGCTAACAGCTTCAGTAGCAGGGCCATTAGTGATGTCATGGTAACCATTGATGTCACAATGATCTGCAAAGCATCGTGGTGCAATTTCATTGTAGCGATATCTACATAGATATCGCTTGATCTCATGCAAGCCATATTTCCTGTGGGAGCCAATTGTGGATGATATATATATATATATATACAGAAGTTTAAATGCTAGGTTATTGTTCCTGTTCAGTTAACATGTTTGAGACATCAGAGCTCCAGATAACTTTTTGAGCAATTGAGTTTTTACTCAAAGGTTTTTATTTTAATTAGGTTATTACATTTTTCATGTTTTTCATTGGGTAACCAATATTTTTTTTCACTCATCTGTTCATCACTCTATTGGGGTTTTCCAAAATGAGCTAACATTTTGAGACTTAAAAAAGAAAAGAAATATTGTTTTAGATGTATTTAAGGGTTCTAACTAAAGGCTTGACTTGAAAAATATATTCGCTCGTACTCGTGTTTTGGAAATTAGCTCCATTGTACGCATGCTGAAAAAGCTTCATTGGGCATTTACTCATACTGTTTTTATATATTTGAATTTTCCATTTAATGCATGCGTTTCTGTATGCAAGTTAATTGAAAGTATTTGGGTTTTGAATGTTTTTTGGGGTATTTTATGCAAATATGCTGCTTATCTGTAGCTCTGAGACATGCATGTTTTCTACTCGCTCCCTAATCAGAATTGTTATCTGCTTGATCATGGTGATTTTGACAGCTTTTCGATGATTCAAGCTTCATTTCCTGTTTCAGTGTTAAATGACTATATCTTAGAACCTCTGAGAAAACTCTACTTCAGCTCAACTGTCTACTTCAAGGTGGGTATCATTGTGTTACCATGGTGACACCTGTCCATATTTCTGACCATATTTTCTAGTGGTCCTCAAGTTATCTCCCTTGTATTCCACACACCAAAGTACTCACGGAAATGAAAAAAACCTGTTTTTTCGACCTCAGATCTTAAATAAATGCAGTTAATATACAAAATATGTAAATATTCAGACAACTAAATTAGTACTAATTGGGCCGTGGCACAAATACAGCGTATCAAATGTTTTTATGCCTTTTTACACGTAAAAGTGTGTAAAAATGTGAAAAAAACAGACTATTGTGAAACAGGGCATAACCAGGGGTAAGTAGATCAAGGTGACCTATGACACCTTGACGACAGGTGAGAACAGGTGCATAATGCCTATAGTCTGTTTCTGCTATGTCAATTTGGACTTAGTTTTATTTTTGAATGTTGAAAGTGCCAACAAATTACCTCCTGTAAAGTACATTTTGTATTGTTCACTGAGATCAAACTAGCAAATCCAGACTAGTACTTTTCGAGTTGTTTTGTTATTTCGTATTTACAGCTACGTAACACTTTGTGTCGATTTTTAAATTGAGAAAAACAGGGTTTTTTTCATTTCCGTGAGTACTTTATTACTTCTAGTTTCCTTATACACTTGAGGTTGGATACCATGTTGTGTCTGTGTGTAGATTCCATGAGATTGTGATGTAATTGTGTCATGTAGTGGGGCAGTGTTGGGATACGGTTGCGAGACAGATGGCGTGTTACAGAGGGCTGATCCAGTTGTCTCTGTCTGTATGATGTTGGAAGTTGGATCTGTTGATTGCAATGTAGGCCTATATATAAATTTAATAAATGTACAGATTATTCTTACAAAGTGGAAGGGGATATAGGAATGGGTGCTGTCTGTTCGTTCATCATGTTTCGTTTCTGGAGCAGAACTAAAGAAATATGAGAGATTATTAACCAAACTTGGTACATAGATAGGACTTGTTGTGAACTAGTGCCTTTTGATAGTTTGGGATTTTTAAAAAAAATATTTTTTCTAGTTTCCATTCCAACAACTTTGACTTAGACTGAAGATGGCGGTAGTGCTCAACACAATCACATGTCATATTGGTGGGGGACATGAGTATTTCATGCTTGTTGTAGCCCCTGTTCCCTGTATAATTTCTACACACCTGTAGACATCTTGCTGTCGGAACAGACCATGAGAATGGCGTTACACCTTTATGATATAGAATACATGTTAAGATTCCCATTGCTCAACTGGTCATACACTATGGTGCCTAGTCTGTCAGTTGATTATACCCAAGTTTGGTTTAAGGAAAATCCCTAATTGAAGAAAGGTCTAGTTTGATAACCTGTCATATCGATCGATATTAAGTGGGTCAAAGGAGACAGGACTAGTACTGTCTACTCTGGTACAGGTTTCCTGATGTCAGCTTTGTCAAATTGTGATAAACGTTTACTATGGTCTCCAGCCAAATCAGTAGCCATCTACAAGGTCAAATGTTACATCTAGTTCTCTAATACCTGGGAAGGGCAGACCAATATGTATTTATGTTTGGACACGAACAAGGTAGTCTGAGGACATCCAGTGGGATAACAAGTGTCTGAAACAATGCTCAAAGTTTGCACAGACTTGAAAAATCAATAAATTTGACAGTCCGACCTTGAAATGGCCTCTAATTTGAATTTGCCTTCAACAGTCCTTAAAATTTAAAATTTGATGAATTGCCATGTGTACCCTGCTATTAAATGAATATGTGCAATATCTTTTTCTCTAACAATGAAGCAAATGATTACTCTAAAAGACTTCATTGATGAATAATCTTGAAATTCTGGTGTGTCAATGTGAATATTTGAATGCAATATTTAGAAATATGGCTATTCTGAAGTAAAACATTTAACTAACTTAAAATTAAATTAAACTTACAAATTTGTTTGAAAGCATGCCCAGGCCTTAGCCTTAAAACTGGTGTCCTTGCCTTGTAAAGGCCTTGACTCTGATAGCGTGTATTTCGTTGTGAGACCCATGATGGTGTAGTGTGTCCGTGTTGTCTGTTCTCCAGTGCCAAGTGATACTCACCCTGGTGGAGATGATCAAGAATTATACAGCATTTGAGTGGCCGCGCTACAAGGATCTGATGGAGAATGAGTCGTCTGTCAAGGGCCCTACGTCTTCGTGGTATGTTGTACATCAGTGGGCACGCCCAGGGAACCCTGTCCCACTAACTCATGCTTGTTGGATACATTGATAGGCGTTGAGGTCACCAGCTTGTGACTTGGCAGATCATACGTGGTTCATTGCTCAGGCTTTCAGTCACTGGTTGGCCTGGTCCAGACTTGCTGATTGACAAGCCGCATTGGTAGAACTGAAGTACCGTATTCGACGTAATAAGCGCCCCGCTCTAATAAGCACCCACAGCAATATTTGCTAACATATTGGCTAGTGAACAATCCCAATCAGCACCCCTTCCGATTGATCAATGTACACAAGACTTATTTATTCGTGTATAATACGCACTCGTGTGTTTTACCACCCTTAATTATGGGCAATTAAAATCTTGAAAAATATATCTGTCGTATGTAAACATTTCAGGCTGTTAGCATAAACCACGAAATTTACGATCTTTCAACTCTAATAAGCGCCCCCTATTTCTAATTTTGAGAGCGCCCTGGGCGCTTATTACGTTGAATACAGTATTGATGCCCGCAGTGTTAAACAACATTCACTCACAGGGATCGGTTTCGCTATATCCAAGCTGCACCAGTGCAGGTTAAACCATGCTAGTGCAGGTAACTTTTATTGCCAGGTTGCACCCAGTGCAGTTAACACTTCCCACCACAAGTGAATGGCAGCAGTTATATTTGATAACAGTGGCTAAACTGAATTCCTTTAGAACTGGCTGTAATCTTTTTGAATCAGGAAATAAAAGTTCATGAAAATAGTGAAATACACAGGTGGTCAGAATGCAATTAACTAACAGAACTCATTCTTCACAAATACCACTTGAACAGTCACTATGAGGTTACAATCACAACAAACAGATACTTTGAAACTTCTGTTTAAGGTTGTTGACTGGATATCAACATGTGAAAAGCCATATACAGATTTCCCCATGATAAAATACTGGAGCACATTCTCTATTTTCGTTTTGAATTTATTTAATATTCAAAATAACTGAAAATACAGTGTTTTAGTTTATGATAACATGGTGCAGCCAGTATTTTGGTGGTGCAATATGCTTAATTCTCTTGGTTGCACCTGGTGCAGGTGGTAAAACAGAATGAAATCGAACCCTGACTCACTCGATCCGACTTATTGTATTTCATTGGCTAGGTGGGGGCTGTCGGGGGGCCTAGTGGTTAAAGCGTTCGCTCGTCAGGCCGAAGACCCGGGTTCGATTCCCGACATGGGTACAATGTGTGACGCCCATTTCTGGTGTCCCCCGCTGTGATATTGCTGGAATATTGCTAAAAGCGGTGTAAAACCATACTCACTCACTCACTCATTGGCTAGGTTAGCAGGTCCACTGTGCTTTTATAGCATGCACACAGGCTTGTTCATTTCCACTCACTGCATCTGGCATCCTGCTTCTTCCCACACTCTTCTTCCCTGTACATGTGGGGACCAGGGTTGGAATACGTCCACAGCTTGTCGTAAGAGGCAGCTAACTTGACCTGTGTGGTGAGGTTAGTGATCTGGTTGACAGCTGGAACACTTCTACAGTCTGGACTTCAGCCACAAGTTTGAAGCTCGAGTTATCTTTGGTCCAGTAAAATCAGCTAAATAATAGTTCACACATCAACACTAAAATCTCCTGAAAGTGGTGCTGAGAGCCATTTCTGGGTTGGTAGATTCCAAAGTTTTCTTAGTGGACATGGTGGAGCTTGTGCAGTATAAAACAATCCACAATGTACGTTTCTCCTCTTCTTCAGGACCCAAGAAGATCCTGTGTAGAATAGATCTTCGGCAACCCATGCTTGCCGTAACAGGCGACTATGCTTGTCGTAAGAGGCGACTAAAGGGATCGGGTGGTCAGGCTCACTGACTTGGAGGAGGCATGTCATCGCATCCAAATTGCGTGGAACGATGCGCACTGGATTGTCTGGCCCAGACTTGATTATTTACAGACCGCCGTCGTATAGCTGGAATATTGCTGAGTATGGCGTTAAACAATAAACCAACCAACCAACCAACTTCTTCTTCAGCATGTCAATCTTCCAAGAGCATGGAGGGAAGTTCCGTCCTCTCCAAACCCTCCAGGACCTGATCTACTTCACGGACAGCCTGGCCACGCTGGGGCTGCAGCTGGAGGAGGACAACACCCTGCTGGCCAACTGCGTCCTCGACTACGTGCAGCTGGTGAGTGGCCATGGAGGACGAGTCAGGCGTGTACTTGCCTCTGTGTGGTCAAGTCCTTGGGACTCTGTAATAGGTTGGGGGGTGCCAGGTATGACCATGACCATGGGGGTGTCAGGCTGGTGATGCGCTCCACTTGTTACCATCACTGATGTCATATGATTGCACATACTCAAAAGCTTTACATCTACCAGAAATGGGGATTTTAATGTTAGATTGAAGAAAATCAACCTTTCCCATACTGAAATGTGAGTGTTTTTCTTACCAGAATAGAAATGTTGGTGATCACTAACCCTGAATCTGCAATTTTCATTAATTTCATTATTCAATTGGCCAATCTGTTTCACATCCCACACTTTCAATGTAAATTATTTGTATGCATTCTTAATTTGAAAACAATATGGGATGCGTTTCTTGCATTGGTTAATACCTGGAGTGAACTGTCAATGTATCGCAACGGTCAATGTCAGACATTTGGTGGCAAGTTAAAATATCAATAACCTTGGTACCCTGCTACACTATGCATAGTATTGATAGATGATTTATTAATGAAACACTACTATTAATCATTTACTTTTCCATTAGCCAAACCTAAGTTTGCAACATTTTCCCAATGAGTCTGTTGACTGATGTTTTACATTAAAAACTTTAAAATGGGTGGGGAAACTTGTACTGAGCTTGGCCTTACGCTTGATAATTTCCTAATGTAAACCTATAGAAAGTGTGTTCTGTGTTGTGATTGGCTAATTTGGGTCACATGACCAAATGTCAAAGGGTGAAAATATGATTTGCATTCCCTGAAGCAAGCAACAGGTTTGCAATATTGATAAATACTATGTGTGTGTCTATTTCCGGGATTTTATCGAGTATTTGCATCTTGGAAATTTTCATTCGAGCCCCTCAAGCTAACGCTTTCGGGTCTTGAGATGAATTTCCAAGATGCAAATACTCGATAAAATCCCGGAAATAGACACACACATAGTATTTATCTTCTAAATTTAATATGTTATTTATAATATGTAATATATATTCTTCAGAACTGATTATTTTGGGCACTGATACAGTGTGTTAGGAAACATGATCTGTGTAAAAAGAAATAGAAAGTTATAGTCACAGGCAGCAGTTCTATCCTGGAAAGGACATCATCGTGTTCTAATCAACTGTTGCTCATGCCATCAACCACAGGTTTGGCTGTCCAGACTGGATTATCAACATGTTGCTGATACGGCAGTTTTAGCTAATCCCTCCCACCCCAGCTATATCATTGTATGTCTGTGTAACATACCGTCTTCTGCTGCAGTTGTCTTCCCTGTGTCAGACGTACGGTGTCCCGTTTGTTGCGCTGTCTCCGCCGTCACTGCTGGGGAGGTTCCTGGTGGACGACTCAGTTCTGAGTGTAACCCGCCTCTGCTCCATCATGTGCAAGTAAGCATTCCTTGTGGCATGATTGCCTGCCTCTTTGTCTATCTCTTAAACTGTAAGAATGATAGGATCTCTTAAAAAGTAGAAATGTTTCTTATGTTTATTAAAATTTTCATTTTTTCTTGAGTATAGAGCACGCTTAAAAACACAGCTCTGTAGAGGGATGTGGGTATTAAAAATGCCATGATGAGTTTTGATAGGTTTTTTTCTGAACACAATGACATCAATCAAGTAATTACAGTCTGGTTATAACAAGTGTTCATTGTAAGTCTGGACTTAGGTTTGTATTCTATTTTATTAATTTTATTTTAAAATTTCTTCAATGTTGTTTACAAATTGTTACATACGTGAAAAATATCAGGCAATAGCAATCAGCTGTACCAAAGTGCTGCGCTTATAGTAATATATGTATATAGTAAAAGCTGCTAATAAAAATACAAAATATTGGAATATATTATTCCTGAGAAAGTAATAGTTTCAGATACAGTTCTTCTGATCACTGCATCTAAACTCTTTAAAGTCATGTTATTGGTATTTTTCACCGAAATCACCGGTAGATTTGCAGACGTGTCTACAGCTGATTGCTATTTCCTGCTTAGTTTACGCAAACATACACATGGTTATCTTAAAATCTCTGCATATAAGACAATGCCCAGCAGAACAGGAAATACAATTTAATTTACCTGAATTTGCTGAAGGGATATGATGTTGTTGTTTTTTTTCTAAGCATAATACTTGAAAAATCTTTTTTTTCCCCCAAATACTGAATCCCCTAGAGCAGTATGCATGGGTGTGCACTAAACTCAGGAAAATATGGTAGTTGATTTAAATATTTAGATATTTTTTTTCAAATAAAATCTTACATATACTTCAGACATTTCTTTCAAATGAAAAAAATATATAATATTTTTCAATTTGCATCTTTATGTTTAAAACAAATAAGAAAAAAGAAGTGAACTGTTTTGGGGAAACATTTACTTCTCTATCAGCGGGGCCCAGGGTTTTTCATTTGTCCAAGTTGCTGCAGTTTGCTGTGAAAGATTTTTTTTCTTAATCATGCCACATTTAAAAACTTTAAATGCTATCTGGGCTTCCATAGTGGTTGGTTTGTCCGGACCATATCTCTAAAACTAACAGATATTCTTTCATAAAACTTTTCACACACAACAGAGACCAGGTTGTCAACTGGTTCCCTTTGCTATTTAGGGATTTGTAGATTTTTAAATTTTTCTGTTCCCACGGCAACATGCTTGACATTGACTCTGGTCTGACCTAAAGATTGTCTTGATAGCTATTCACAGTGAATGTGACCTAATTAACATAAGGGACATGTTGAGTGTAGTAAGCTGCAATGTATAAGGTTTCATAAGTTTAATGTGAAAGGTGTGCCTCAGTAACTATTGATAACTACAGTTGGTAATGCAACAGATTACACTATACGCCATGTACCAACTGTGTGACATCCACTTACTCATATCTTTCGAAAAAGGACCTGCCATATGAATACAAATTCCTGAATTCAAATTCCATGGTATTGTTTTGATATACTGTTGTTTACGGACGGATAGATTACATAGGAATACTGTCATCATGTTGGACAGATCCCTCTTGTAGTTGTAGAGGGACAAACAGATTGCATAGGAATACTGTCACCAAGTTGGACAGATCACTCTTGTAGGTGTAGAGGGACAAACAGATTAGATAGGAATATTGTCATCATGTTGGACAGATCCCTCTTGTAGTTGTAGAGGGCCAAACAGATTGCATAGGAATACTGTCACCAAGTTGGACAGATCATTCTTGTAGGTGTAGAGGGACAAACAGATTAGATAGGAATACTGTCATCAAGTTGGACAGATCACTCTTGTAGTTGTAGAGGGACAAACAGATTAGATAGGAATACTGTCATCAAGTTGGACAGATCACTCTCATAGGACTTGGTGTAACAATCAGACGATTTGTCCTTTTGAGTTAGTGGGGGACGGGGGGATTTGTCATCTTCTGATGACTCTTGCTATACCATGTTGGTATAACTATAAGTAAGGGTAAGGCAATTGCCATCATTGAATCACCATTCTATTATACTGATGATAAGTACCCTGGATCCATTTGTTTGGGAAGTGATGTCACCAACCACATCAGTAATATCAGCCTTCCACAGTAAATTGGGGTAACCTCATAGTTAAAGCGTTCACTCTTCACACCACAGGCCCGGTTTCGATTCCCTACATGGGTGTCTGGTGTCCCCTACCGTGATATTGCTGGAAAATATTGCTAACACAATAGTGGCGTAAAACCATACTCACTCACTCACTCACTCACTCACTCACTCACTCACTCACTCACTCACTCACTCACTCACTCACTCACTCACTCACTCACTCACTCACTCTACAGTATATTATCTCAAAAGAACTAATAGAGTTTAATCTGAGTGGGAGCTATTTTTAGCATCATGTAATTTGAACTTAAAAAGAAGCCCTGGTAAAAAGTGGGCCCAGACATGTACCATTATAGAATAGAAATTAGATACTTTGAACAATCAAGGATGGCTGATCTCGTAATTGTTAAAAATAAAACCTTTTCAGTATTGTTGTGTCAGAAATTATAAAATTGTTTAAGGTCACTCTGACCTATGTCGATATATTTATAAATATCCAGTATTGTAGGGGGCACGGGTGGCCCAGTCATCTAAGGTGCCGCGTTTCGCTGTGCAGAGTTGCGTCCCTTGGGCACGCCAGAAACCTATGATTGTGGGTTCGAATCCCGGTTCGCCCCTATTATGTTTCTAGGTTTGTCAGCACCATACCTGTGCTCGTGGGTTTCACCGAAGTGGTAAACGTCTGCGACCTGCATCACTTCGGGCTTTCCTCCCACATTAAGCTGACAGGCTGTGATATAACTGGAATATTGTTAAGAGGGGCGTTTAACCCAACTCACTCACTCAAGTATTGTATCATAGACAAAACCTTCACTGTTCTTATATGTCAAAACATATTACTACAGAATATATGTCCATCATCGGTGATCATTACAAGGACTAGTGATCATGCGGTAGATAAGTCTACTGATTGCTGTACAGCAATAAATCAACCCACGTTTTCTGCATTCTTGTCTTTTCTACCCAGTTACAAAGGTGCCTTTGAAGCTCTCAAGTCTAGACAGACCCCAGCGGACCTTGACCAGATCGACCGTGATGGCACGGAGGACATCCAGAGCTTTAACAGACTGCTCCTGGACATCTGTAATGGGTTGTGGCGGAACAGAGCATTCGAGGCCACAGGCAGCCTCGTCTTCGACTTCAACCCCTCAGAGTTACTGTCGTCCGTTCCACGACCAAATGAAAACTTCTCCATCTACCTTCACCATGCCTTCCTGGGGTGCAGTCTGGCCTTCCTGAGCGAGGTACTTCTATACACTGACAAAGTCTAACCTTCCTGAGCGAGGTACTTCTATACACTGACAAAGTCTAACCTTCCTGAGCGAGGTACTTCTATACACTGACAAAGTCTGGCTTTCCTTAGCGAGGTACTTCTATACACTGACAAAGTCTGGCTTTCCTGAGCGAGGTACTTCTATACACTGACAAAGTCTGGCTTTCCTTAGCGAGGTACTTCTATACACTGACAAAGTCTGGCTTTCCTGAGCCACATTCTTTTATACAATAACTACAGTCTGGCATTCCTTAGCGAGGTACTTCTATACACTGACAAAGTCTGGCTTTCCTTAGCGAGGTACTTCTATACACTGACAAAGTCTGGCTTTCCTTAGCCACATTCTTTTATGCAATAACTACAGTCTGGCATTCCTGAGCGAGGTACTTCTATACACTGACAAAGTCTGGCTTTCCTGAGCGAGGTACTTCTATACACTGACAAAGTCTGGCATTCCTTAGCGAGGTACTTCTATACACTGACAAAGTCTGGCTTTCCTTAGCGAGGTACTTCTATACACTGACAAAGTCTGGCTTTCCTTAGCCACATTCTTTTATGCAATAACTAGTCTGGCATTCCTGAGCGAGGTACTTCTATACACTGACAAAGTCTGGCTTTCCTTAGCCACATTCTTTTATACAATAACTACAGTCTGGCATTCCTGAGCGAGGTACTTCTATACACTGACAAAGTCTGGCTTTCCTTAGTGAGGTACTTCTATACCACTGACAAAGTCTGGCATTCCTTAGTGAGGTACTTCTATACACTGACAAAGTCTGGCATTCCTTAGTGAGGTACTTCTATACACTGACAAAGTCTGGCTTTCCTTAGCCACATTCTTTTATGCAATAACTACAGTCTGGCATTCCTTTGTGAGATACTTCTATACACTGACAAAGTCTGGCATTCCTTAGTGAGATACTTCTATACACTGACAAAGTCTGGCTTTCCTGAGCCACATTCTTTTATACAATAACTACAGTCTGGCATTCCTGAGCGAGGTACTTCTATACACTGACAAAGTCTGGCTTTCCTGAGCGAGGTACTTCTATACACTGACAAAGTCTGGCTTTCCTTAGCGAGGTACTTCTATACACTGACAAAGTCTGGCATTCCTTAGCAAGGTACTTCTATACACTGACAAAGTCTGGCTTTCCTGAGCGAGGTACTTCTATACACTGACAAAGTCTGGCTTTCCTTAGCGAGGTACTTCTATACACTGACAAAGTCTGGCATTCCTTAGCGAGGTACTTCTATACACTGAAAAAGTCTGGCATTCCTTAGCGAGGTACTTCTATACACTGACAAAGTCTGGCTTTCCTTAGCGAGGTACTTCTATACACTGACAAAGTCTGGCTTTCCTGAGCGAGGTACTTCTATACACTGACAAAGTCTATCTTTCCTTAGCGAGGTACTTCTATACACTGACAAAGTCTGGCTTTCCTGAGCGAGGTACTTCTATACACTGACAAAGTCTGGCATTCCTTAGTGAGGTACTTCTATACACTGACAAAGTCTATCTTTCCTTAGCGAGGTACTTCTATACACTGACAAAGTCTGGCATTCCTTATTGACATACTTCTGAATAATAACTACAGGCTGGTTTTCTTGATTATGTTTTTTCTCTCCAATAAAAGTATGGCTTTCTTGAATGAGGTACTTCTATACAATAAAAGTCTAGCTGTCCCGAGTGAGGTACTTCTATACAATAACCACAGTCTAGATTTCCTGAACAAGGTCAGAACACGGAACCAGACATGAAACCATGGATCCCAGATCTTTCCTTGGCATTTAACTCTGTCGTAAGAGATCTGACTTCCATAATAATGTAATTTCAACATTTCACTGAACTTTTTATGTTTTGGGGGTTCACTTGCTCCTTTCTTGTTTCAGACACAACCTGCTGGGAAGAAGGTTCACCCGAGCCAGATCAAGGTATGTAGGTCATTACAAGGATGTATTCACGATTGTACACTAAGTGCACGCACATTGGGGAAAAGTCATTATTTTGTCCAAAACTGGGATTTTAGGCTTATAAGGATAAAAAAATTGGTTCTCAGGCAATAGCTTTTGAAATGTAGTGCGGGCGGGCGGTGCCTTTTCTTTCCTTTTTGGGGGAGTTTGTTCAAAATCAATCTCATTAAAATCAGATCTTGGTTCTCACTATGCTAAACAAAGATCTGAGGACATCCCATTAAGGGTAACGTCAGAACCATCTTTCATCCAACCAATCAGAGCGTCGCTTACCAGATCATGAAAGTGACAGTCTGAATGTGTTTTCTGATCATGCAACCACGAAATATTTAACACGGGGTCTTCCGAATGACAGTTACAGGTTTTATTATTATATCCATACAATCTAGGCCATCTATAAGCCATTCCAGAGTGTTCTTCTTATGTGTTTTCAGAGTGTTTTCATTTTTTTAATCGAGAATACGTCAAAATATGTTTCGAAGCGTAGTCGCCAGTTTGAAACTTGTGTCATAAAGCTCGAGAAAGCTGCCTTCTGATTGGCTAATGTCGATTTCTTGTCAGTCATTTCATTTGTCGGTCAAAAATTGGTCGGCCAGACTCGATGATTTACAGACCGCCGTCATATAGCTGGAATATTGCTGAGTGCGGCATTAAACAACAAACAAACAAAACAAACAAAATCAGATGATAAACAATGTGGTCTGCTATGATGATTTCCTCAAGTGTTGGGGTGATGGGGGTAGCCTAGTGGTTAAAGTGAAGGCCTGGGTTCGATTCCTCACATGGGTACACTACAGTACATGAGGCCCATTTCTTGCATCCCACACTGTGATATTGCTGGAATATTACTAAAGCAGCGTAAAATCATACTCACTCACTCACTCACTCCACAATTGTGACATTGCACATAATAAATTCGTGAGATTTGTGTCTGTAGTTGATTATAATTCAGTTGGTTGTATCTGTTAGTTCACTAAGTGACACTGAGTGAGGTTTCTTTAGCTGTATACGTAACTAATTAGTGACATTTGTGTCTGTGGTTGATTAAGATTCAGTTTGCTGTATCTTTTAGTTCACTGAGTGACACTTCTTTAGTTATACACGTAACTAATTTGTGACATTTGTGTCTGTGGTGGATGAAAACTCAGTTGGTTGTATCTGTTAGTTCACTGAGTGACATTGAGTGAGGTTTCTTTAGCTGTATACGTAACTAATTAGTGACATTTGTGTCTGTGGTTGATTAAGATTCAGTTTGCTGTATCTTTTAGTTCACTGAGTGACACTTCTTTAGTTATACACGTAACTAATTAGTGACATTTGTGTCTGTGGTTGATTAAGATTCAGTTTGCTGTATCTTTTAGTTCACTGAGTGACACTTCTTTAGTTATACACGTAACTAATTCGTGACATTTGTGTCTGTGGTGGATTAAAATTCAGTTCGCTGTATCAGTTAGTTCACTGAGTGACACTGAGTGCGTTTTTCTGACTCATACACGTAATTAATTTGTGACATTAGGGTCAGTGTTTGTGATAAAAATTCTTTTGGCTGTATCTGTTAATTCCCTATACCATGTATAGAGTTTGTGACATACGTGATTTTTACATGATAATATATTGCGCTGCAGGGGGGGATGTTTTAAATAGTTTCTTATCTCTTTCGTTTGCCATACTACGCAAAAATCTGTTATCATGTTCTACAGTCAACTTGCAAATAATCCATGGAAAATGGCTGTACTCTCTAGTAAATATATATATCTACAACATTAAATCAGGCTGACATCTAAATATAGGACGTTACACTGTGCAGGTAGTGTTTGATAAAATATTCCTGCCATGATTATGTCCGTAAATACTCTTTGGCACGAATGTCTGACCACAGAGGCGGTCAAGTTGAAAAGGATACAGTGGGTAGTGACACAGAGTGCTGTAACACCATTGGGGTTTTGACATTATGCATGTCTATTTGTATGCAAGCAACAGAAAAATTCATTAGCTGATGGTGATTTATTTCTTCATTTTCTGCACAAATAAGGGGCTTATTTGTGCTCTGGTTTGGTCACGTGTACCAACACTCAATTTTATAACTGATGTCATAGCTACCTGTATAATGATATGTTTTACGTATGCGTATGTATACCTTTCAAGATTTCAGAGCTCCAGATAAGCTGCGTATCTGCGTAAAATATGCATCAGAAATGCAGAAATACGCAGTAAAATAAAATCCTAGTGTATCAAATACGCAATGAACATTACAGATACGCTACAAAAATGAAACTTGTGCGTATCATCAAAATATTGTGAAGTAACCCTGCATATTCGATAAGCAAATCAGCAACTTATTTTGAAATTATAAACGGGCATTCCGTCAATCTTGCCAAACTCCACGATGACAGTTACATCATGATCATTTGCCATCACACTTTCTTGTGGAAGTATCGTGGTATTTTTGAGTCCTATAAAGCTCTCGAACCCACATGACACCAGTTTGCAGGGACTAGATGAATAGTGTTTTTAAATAGTTAACTTAAATACCCACATGTGTAAAAACTAGTGGGTAACAGAAATTTGAATACCCGGAGGAATTACTGATACCCAATGATTTTAAAATGCATGGGTAAAATACCCACAACACCAAAAGCTTATCTGGAGCTGTGAGATTTTCCTTATTTTGCTGTCTTCGGTATCATGAAGTGCGTTCAAATGACAGATTACCCAGGATTACAATTAATCATGTAGAATTGTTTCAATATGAACAGTTCTGGACAGGGTTAAACTGAATCTTAATTGATTTGGAACAGAGCCAAACAGGAAAAGTACACTGTGTTTTGTCAATACCAGGGTCACGTGGTGGAAGAACTGTGCTTTAGATGTGAAGTCTGCCTGTCAGGGCTTTATTTGGCTTAGTGCATTCTATAATTGATTGATATTCAGCTGGCGATTAACAATCTCTATAATCTATATCGATAGCCAGCCCTAAATTTGTGTCTGACTATACCTTACTTTTCCGCACAACAGCAATCTTTCAACACACTCAATACCTCTAAGCTTTATGTAATTTACCACACAATTAATTCCTGGGTTATATGTAGTTTGTCATCCTTTCTTGGGCTTGACGTCATCAAACTGCCATTAACTGGGATTACTTCAAAACTATGTGCACATCTTTTATGTTTTACAACGATATTTATGTAAAATCATGACACAATCTTCAGAGAGAGATCTGACATATACCTATTCAGTTTCTAAATACATCTGTGTTTTATCTTTGATAAATTTATGTGACAAGAGCAGGGCTGATTTCCCTGTATCCAAGCTGCACCAGTGCATGTAAACAATTGCTTGTGCAGTAATTGTATTGCCAGGTTGCACCCAGTGCAGGTAACATTTTCCCACCACAAGTGAATGGCAGTAGTTTTGTTTCATAAAAATGGAAAACTGAATTCTTTAAGAACTGGCTGCAAATCTTTTAGAATCCAGGAAACAAAAGTTCATGCAATTAGTAAAATACACACGTCAGAAAGCAGTGAACCAGCAGAACTAATTCTTCACAATTACCCCAAGAACAGTCACTCATGAGGTTACAATCACAACAAACAGACACTTTGAAACTTCTGTTTAAGTTGTTTATAGGATATCAAGATGTGAAAAGCCATATACAGATTTCCCCATAATAAAATACTGGAGCACATTCTATGAATTTATTTCATATTCAAAATAGCTGAAAAAACTGTTCAATTTATGATAAAATGGTGCAGCCAATATTTTGGTGGTGCAACCTGATTAATACACTAGGTTGCACCTGGTGCAGGTGATAAAACAGAATGAAATCGTACCCTGAAGCGTGCAACCTTTTTTGAATGGTGCAACTAGGTTTTCATGTCAACATGCACCTGGTGCAAGTAAAATGATCTTCCTCAAATCAAACCCTGCCTGTGCACAGCATACTGATATCGAAGCTGGTGGGTTAAATCTATCATATCACATGACATTCTTGACATACTGTCTACAGAGCTGTACGAGCAGGGACAGATAAGTGTTAATCATTGTGTTTATCTCTAGATAATAAACAGCACTACCAAGTAATGCTGTGGGGAACGTGGGGGGTGGTAGACTGGCCTATCCATACAATATCTTTGTCAGGCTAAGATTTGGTTTAATACCCCATATGAGTACAATGTTAACCTGCAATCGTGTCCATGTATCCTGTTGACATATAGCTGGGATATTAATGTGGAATATTTCTATATCCACTCCTTGACTCCTGAACAGTACACTGCATGACATTTAACAATGAACAGTGTTCCTTCTGGCTTTTTAAACTTACCAGTTCCCACTAATTTTTGTCAGTCCAAACTTCAGCAAATATAAAAACGTTTGAAAATTAGTACATTACCTGGTTTTAATTCTTTCAGCATCAGGTTCAATGTAATGACATCATCTCTGAAGTAACTTAGTTAGATCTACATGTCATTCACACGCACGCACGCACGCACACATGGACGCGACATTAAACCCCATTTCACCCCACCTCACTATTCATTTATAACTGAGGCAAAAAAAACCCATTTCACCACACCTCACTATTCAAACCAAGGCAAAAAAACCAATTTCACCACACCTCACTATTCATATATAACCGAGGCAATCTATGTCACTGATGCAGACACAGGCAACAACAACTCCAACTACTGAGGAGTCTTTTGGTGTAGAACCTTTCGTTGAAGGTCTTATACTATGTACACTGGCCATGTTTGGGTGGGGGGATGCTCCAATCCCCATCAAAAAGGGTTCAAATGATACTCCACCAATAAATATAAATTTGAGTGAATATTGGGACACGAATCCAATATGTTATTTTATTGCTCATTTAGTTGGAAATCGGGAACATAGAAATAAACACTACTCGGTCATGAGATTTTTATAATTTCCATATTCTAACAAGTATGTTGTATCATGCCCAATCCACCTATATGCCCTGTTGCTTTTAGAACATTTTACAGTTTGTTATTCATTCAAATAACCTATAGATGTACCGTACAATGCCCCCTTCACATACACAGATTTTTCTTATGAGTCCTTACGGATCGCACAAATTCACGGATCCTTACCATTTGGCCACTTTTATGACCAATTTAAGAGTTGTTACGAGTTATTTCGAGCTATTTACGGATTATTACGAGTTATTACGATGTATTTACGGCAAAATTCCACGATTTGTTACAAGTTGTCACGGATAACTACAGGCAACTTACGGGCATTTTACGAGCTTTTTACAGATTGTTACGAGTATATTACGGAATGTAACTATTCATCGAAGCTTTTACGTGTTAGTTACGACCTGTTTAAGTGTTGTGACGAAAAGTTACGAGTATATACTAGTCCTTACGATTTTTTGTCAAAAAATATATCAATCCTGCAAATCTCAATGTATCATCATTCGACAACTGACATCCAGAGAGACAATTTCAGAGTCTTCAGTGTCTTCTACATCAACAGGGTCTAGATGCGGTGGTGGTTCAGGGAAAGGCGAGCGTGTCCTCTTCTTCCGCGGAGATTTTCTAAAAGCAGCAGACTTCTTGTTGACTGCCTTCTTCTTTGGAGCTATGCTTGTAGATATTGTAGAGTAGATATGCAGAAATGTGACTTCTATGACTTCTTAATAACAACTGAAAATGAAGTGTTCAATTTTGCAGCTTTTATACCTTTTCCCAAATCGTAAACAATACGTAAGACTACAGAAAGTATACGTATCTATTCATAAAGAACTCGCAACTACACATAAAGTGCTCGTAATAACTCGTAACAATCCGTAAAGCCATCGTTACACGACCCGAATGAAATTGTAAACAACACGTAACCACTCGTAATAATCCGTAAACAAATCCTAAAGTCGTCGTAACAAATCGTAATTTTTTTTGTTAAAAGTCATTTATTAAATCTGTTTACAATCGTAAGATGATTTTTGACATGTCAAAAAGTTTGCCTCTCCTTCCACGGATCCTTAAGAGTGTCTGCGAGTTGTTGCGAGTAGTGACGAGTTATTTACGGATACCAGCGAGTTATCACGTTATCACACTGTCTGGTTACAAAAAGAGTTCATTATATATCTGGACTTATGTTTGTAATCCATTTTATTAATTTTATTCAAAATTTCATTCGACAATGTTTATATTCATTTTGGCGAAAATCGTTTGGGATCGTGATCGCACAACTCACTGTTATTTACAGCAGCCACGGTCATATTACTGCTATTGATGCCTTGAAACGAACTTTAGTGGATAGAGAATAAATATACATATATCATAAATGCCATACTTTGACTCGCTGTAAGTCATATTTGTTGTGACTATTATACGTCAACATAAAGTTTTCGCTATCGTGAGCGCGGGAGCATGGATCTGATGATGGTGAGGTCCTGAATTGGGAACACTGGCTGGCTATACCAAAACATGCCTTTTGAAATACGTCGCTGACATGAACAATCAACTTTAGCAAAATGATTATGCATAGATTTAGGTATGGAAGGTAATGGTAGACACAAATTGAGTTTTTTGTTGGTGAATAATTGTACTCAACAGATCCCCAGTGCACAGTTGGTGTTTATGAATAAATTTGTTTGACTGATAATGGTTTTCATCTGATGCAAATGCTTCCTGTAATCCCATGCATGAAAATCAGAATTAGAACGGGTCTTCAGCAACCCATGCTTGTCGTTAACGGGATCGTGTGGTCAGCCTCACTGACTTTGTGGATGCATATCATTGTATCCCAGTTGCTTAGATTGATGCTCATGATATTAATCACAGGATTGTCGGGTCCAGACTCAGTTTTTTACAGACCTCCATCGTATAGCTGGAATAGTGCTGTTACCAAGGTTATTTATTTGGGGGATCCATGGAACTCGCAGCCTTTAGTTGTAGAACTCCCAGGTTAAAAAATGGCAGTCCGAGGCTGTGCAAGTAGTCATGATGCCTAACTTGTTTTTGTTCAGTTTTTTACGCATTAAATTGTATATGATATATCCCATCTTAAACAATGGGACTTTATAGATGAGTATGAGCATGTGACGCCTGTAATTTCATTAAAGTGTGTTGTGTGCTGTAGTGAGGTCAATAGTGCTCAAAAACTGTTTATGTTAAATTTGATGTTCACCTGCTAACAAAGAACATATTATGAGATGACAATAATCACTAACTTGTACTTTTGAATGTGGACATTAAAGTTTATAGATGGGGGTCCGAAGCTACAAATTGGGGTGGAGAAATGTCAAACACTGAACTGCAAGAAGGTTGATTTTGCGCCCTGCACTGTGACATAATGACACAAAGTGACATACATGTATCCAGTTAATGCAGTAATTTCTCTGTTTCAGGCTGTGAAGGACTATTTCCTCAAGTTCCTGGAGCGAGAACACATCAAATCCATCCCTCAGTTCATCCGAACTTTCATACGCAAGTCACAGAAAAATGCAAACTCCATTACAGAGTCCACTCAAGGCTAATCACAAGGACACAATCTATGCACGTGTGTTGTGTTATTGTGGTTCTCATCATCGTCATCATCATTATCATCATCATCATCATCATTATACACTGCCAGTGTGTTCTTAACATGTGTCTGTAGCGATACACTTCATCGAGATGTGATACATATCGCGATAGTCAGGTTATGATGACATAAAGGTTACGATACTTCTTACATTGTAACAGAACACTTTTGACTCAAGTAAAGCATATTTATGAAACCAGGTCAGTTATACTAACAATGGCCGGGGTACTTACATACCATTGCAAATAGACTTATAGTATTTCATTATTTATTTTCATTCCAAATAAAACTAGTAATTTTGTTCTGAATAATGATAACATAATCATAATTTGGACATGGGTAAGGATGTTTCAGGTGAGTAGCTAATGTGTTCCCTGAAATAATCTGGCATCCTTTATTGCCTGAAATAATCTGGTATCCTTTATTGCCTGAAATAATCTGGTATCCTTTATTTCCTGAAATAATCTGGCATCCTTTATTCCCTGAAATAATCTGGCATCCTTTATTCCCTGAAATAATCTGGCATCCTTTATTGCCTGAAATAATCTGGCATCTTTATTGCCTGAAATAATCTGGCATCCTTTATTTCCTGAAATAATCTGGCATCCTTTATTTCCTGAAATTATCTGGCATCCTTTATTTCCTGAAATAATATGGTATCCTTTTATTCCCTGAAATAATATGGTATCCTTTATTTCCTGAAATAATATGGTATCCTTTTATTCCCTGAAATAATATGGTATCCTTTATTTCCTGGAATAATATGGTATCCTTTTATTCCCTAAAATAATATGGTATCCTTTATTTCCTGATATATTATAGTATCCGTTTATTTCCTGAAGTAATATGGTATGCTTTATTACCTGAAGTAATCTGGTATCCTTTGTTCCCTTAAATCATCAGGTATCCTTTTTTCCTGAAATAATATGGTATCCTTTTATTCCTTGAAATAATATGGTATCCTGTATTTCCGGAAATAACATGGTATCCTTTTATTCCCAGAAAATAATATGGAATCCTTTTATTCATTGAACTACTTTGGTGTCCTTTTATTCCATGAAATAATATATATGTCACAACATTTTACGTGTGAATTGTAACAGCCCTTTTAGAATAAAGCAATGTGTGTTAATCATTATATTTGACTAAGTGTATGATATATATTGGCCTTGTTTTTATTCTTTCAAAGATTGAACATGTTGAAATATGGCACCTTTGTACATGTGGAAACATTGAAGTGTGTCATGTGGAAATATTGAAGTATTGCACCATTGCACATGTGGAAACAGTGAAGTATGGTACCATTGCACATGTGGAAACATTGAAGTATGGCAACATTGCACATGTGGAAACAGTGATGTATGGCACCATTGCACATGTGGAAACATTGAAGTATTGCACATGTGGAAACATTGAAGTATGGCACAATTGCACATGTGGAAACAGTGAAGTATGGCACCATTGCACATGTGGAAACATTGAAGTATGGCACCATTGCACATGTGGAAACATTGAAGTATGGCACCATTGCACATGTGGAAACTGATGTATGGCACCATTGCACATGTGGAAACATTGAAGTATGCTGCATGCAAACATTGTCATGTGGAAATACAGAGAAGTCATGTGGAAACAGTGTTATATGAAAATGTTAAGATATTGCATGTGGAAATTTTCCAATATGTCATGTTGAAAATTGCAATGTGTAATGAAAACTTTTACATGTGGAATCATTGCACATGTTGTGGAAACTAGATTATGTGGACATGTGGCATCATTGATGCGTGTCATACAGGATGGCTGGTCAGTGTGTCATATCCTTTACTTCATATACAGAGCAAAAAAATCAGGATCATGAGAATTTTGGGGGATCTTTTTTTTTGTATTGAAAACTGAGCACACAATTTCATAAAACTATCCCCCAAAATATTCATGATCCCTTTTTTGTTCAGTTTATTACGCATTTAATTGTATATAATATATCCTATGTTAAACAATGGGACTTTATAGATGAGTATAAGCACGTGACGCCTGTAATTTCATTAAAGTGTGTTGTGTGCTGTAGTGTGGTCAATAGTGCTCAAAAACTGTTAATGTTCAATTTGATGTTCACCTGCTAACAAAATACATATTAAGAGATGACAATAAGTAATAACTTTTGCATGTTGTTTTACATGACTTCCGTATGCATGACCATATATGGACATTAAAGTATTTGGACATGGAAGTATATGGACAAGAAGTGTATGGATAATGAAGTATATAGACATGGAAATATATGAACACGAAAGTATATGGAAGAGACGTGTATGGACATGGAAGTATATAGACATTAAGGTGTATGGACATGGAAGTATATGGACATTACGGTATATGGACATGGAAATATATGAACATGAAAGTATATGGAAGAGAAGTGTATGGACATGGAAGTATATAGACATTAAGGTATATGGACATGTAAGTATATTGACATGGAAGTGTATTGACAAGGAGGTATATGGACATGGGAGTATGTGGAAATTAAAGTATAGGGACAAGGAAGTATATGGACAAGAAGGTATATGGACAAGGAAGCATTTGGACATGGAAGTATATGGACAAGAAGGTATATGGACATGGAAGTATATGGACAAGGAGGTATATGGACATGCAAGTATATGGACACGCAAGTATATGGACAAGGAGGTATATGGACATGCAAGTATATGGACAAGGAAGTATATGGACATGTAAGTATATGGACAAGGAGGTATATGGACATGCAAGTATATGGACATTGAAGTATATGGACATGCAAGTATATGGACATGCAAGTATATGGACAATGAGGTATATGGGCATGCAAGTATATGGACATTGAAGTATATGGACAAGGAGGTATATGGACATGCAAGTTTATGGAAATTAAAGTATATGGACAAGGAAGTATATGGACATGGACATACGTGTATATGGAAATTAAAGTACATGGAAGTACAAGGAATATATGGACATGAGACATTTTGAAGAATATATAAATATCTGAATTTTCTTTGTTTTACGAATTGACCCCCAAGCATGACTGGCATGAGATTTCATAAACAAATCTGTAGACCGAGATGTAACAAAGGTCTTGCCTCGGTTGGGTCTGTCACATAATCAGCTCCAGGAGGAACACTGGACGATGATATGCCTCTCAAAGGAAATGTTGAAGTAACCACTTATAAAACTCAAATATGTTGACAGAAATATTCGCTCTCTGACTTGTTTTTTTACTCTTTCTGTGTGCTTTTAATCAGTGAAATAGTTGCGTAAACGTATGTCAAAATTAAATCAAGAAATTATGATTTTATTTTGACATTCCATCAAAAAAAATATTTTTAAGATTATGAAATTATTTTCTAAGATTTTTGTGGATGTTTGTTCCCCATTGTATCAGTAATTCATTATTCATGTGCCATTTAAATGCATCAATAATCACCATATTTTTATCTGTTCGGAATGTGTTGATTTTAGAATAGGGTTGAAGTACAAAAAGTGTAAAAATCTCTCATTGTATCACGGTCAACTGTGGGGTTGCTGTAGCAGATATAGGTTCCACATGCATCTTCATAAATCATTGTATCGGTACACACCAACCTTATTTTAATATGGGGGGCACGGGTGGCCCAGTTAGTGGTTTATAGATGTGGGTAGAGAATAGGTCTTCAGCAACCCATGCTTGCCGTAAGAGGCAACTAATGGGATCGGGTGGTCAGGCTTGCTGACTTGTTTGATGCATGTCATCATTTCCCAATTGAATTGATCGATACTCATGATGTCAATCACTGGATTGTCTGGTCCAAACTCGATTATTTACAGACCACAGTCATAAGGCTGGAATATTGCTGAGTGCGGTGTTAAACAACAAACAAACAAACAAAAATAGTTAGTATTAATAATATACCGTATTTGACATAATAAGCGCCCAGGACGCTCTAAAAATTAAAAATAGGGGGCTCTTATTACAATATAATTTTGGTGAGAAAAAAAACAGTTGAAAGATTGTAAATTTTGTGGTTTATGCCGACAGCCTGAAATGATATATGCGTATTATAAACAAAAGAGATATTATTCAAGAATTTAATTGCCCATAATTAAGGGTGCATATAACACACGAGTGCGTATTATACATGAATAAATAAGTCTTGTGTAACAGTTGGTACCTATGATGCCTGATATTTTTTAGTATAGTGGGAGAAGTTTTAAGGCATGGACATTTATGAGAGACACTAGTACTTGATAGTAGTTGTGAATGCAAATGCATTTCATTTTGTATATTTTGAAGCATTTATTTCATTTGACATTGATTCAATGACATCACAGTTTTACTACACCAAGTTGATTTTATCATCATTTCCAGCTTTATTTAGAATCCTTTTTGTCCGTTTATGTGTGGCACCATTACCAATTTGTTGTTTGTGCTATGATTTTGCAATATAATGAAATATTTTGTTCACTTCAGTAATGCTGATTGTTGGTGGAAACAACCACTGTGTCCCTGCTTGTGTAATGATCCGTGGTTTGATGTGTTGTGGCAATGTGTGAAGTCTCAAGGTGAATAACATGGATTGTAATAATCAAAATAATACTAACAGTGCAGGTTGTGTACTTGAGATTTATGTTAATCAAAGATAATTCTGTAACCAAGACTTGTAATGAGCATAATCTGTATTAATCAAATTTATTATGTATTTTCTTTTAACTGACAGAAAGTAAGGAAGGTCAGTTTTATATAAATATTAATAGGACGTTTCTTTAAATAAATCATTAAAAAATATTTTAGTACTGCTTTGATACTTTTAAGATGAGATAGTGTCTCCTCACTCCTGTCCAAGTCAGAGCAAGATATGGAAGGAGATTTTACTATCGAACTTTATTGCTTTAGAGGTTGACTATTGTATCTTTCAGGGAGGGTTGCTTGATCACTGTATCTTCCATGGGGTGGAAACAATATTCAAACCAGAACAAAAATGGAAATAAGTGAAAAATACGTTATCAGAAGTACATCAGAAGAAGAAAAATAATTTGTGTGAAATAAAGTGAACTAACAACAAATCCTTTTGTGCAATGTAATAATGATTAGTTCTGTTCTATTGCATGTTAACAAGGGATCTTTTTAGATCCAGTGGGTAGTCATCTTCATCAATACCAGGACCTGCTGGAAATGGGTTTGAATCCCAGATTCTCCCCAAGGATAATTCTGGGTCCCCCGGAATATATTGTACAGAGTTGTGCCCCTTTGCTATGCTAGCATCTGCTGATCATGGTTTGAAACCCAGGTATGTCCTGATCATGATTCTTGGTCTGTGGGCACAATGCTTGTAGTTTCACCAAGGGAGTAAATGTCTACAGCCTGTATCGTTTTGGGTTTTCCTCCACATAGGAGGACAATACTGTTCCAGTATATCCCAGTTAAAATTCTGGGATAGGGTAAGTTTCCAGCATCTTATGCTTGTTCTGAGAGGCTACAAAATGGATCAGGCAGTTCGGTTGATTGTGTGTCATCACACCCAGACGACATGGGTAGGTGCTCATAATATCAATCACTGGTTTTACTTGACTCATACAGGCCTCCACTAATATAGCTGGACTGGTGCTCAGTGCGGTGTTAAACAACAACAAAACAAAAACACAAAACTCATCCCAGATTCCTCTTCTAAGGGTAAAATGGTCAATCTCAAAGGTCACAGAATTTAGGTGTAATTTGTGCTGATAAAATAAAGAAGAGGTATCTAATGTGTGGTTAGGATCTTGAACTAACAAGGTGTCAGTACATATATTTTACTACAAATACTTCTTTTGCCTTAAAAATAAGTCAGAACAACAAAGATGTTAATGACGAATTTAGTGTGCGATTTTATTGTTGTGATGATGGAAGGAATATTTATTTAAATTGATTAAAATTCTTCAATCTGTGATGTATGGTTGTGTCTTCTTTCAACATATAGCATCCCACAGAGTGGGGTAGAACTGGTCGCAGGAGCCGATGCAGGTGAGAGGCAACACAATAGATTAGCTTCAGTGACTTGGCTGATTAATGTCATCATACCCTCACTAATGGGACGTTGCTCTTTGTGAACACCTGGTGCTATCAATGATTTCCAGTGATCCATTTATATCATTTTCACCTCTCTTTTGCCTTTGATGCCCAATGGAATCTATTTTGGCAGATAATCGGGACTGATTATTCACTGGATGTCACATTTTATCATAATATCAATCACTTGTTTGTCTGGTCCAGACTCGGTTGACCCGGGGTACAATAGGTCTTCAGCAACCCATGCTTGCCGTAAAAGACAACTATGCTTGTTGTAAGAGGCGACTAACGGGATTGGGTGGTCAGGCTCGCTTACTTGGTTGATGCATATCATCGTATCCCAATTACGTGGATCGATGCTCATGATGTCAATCAGTGGATTGTCTGGTCCAGACTCGAATATTTACAGACCGCCGTCACATAGCTGGAATATTGCTGAGTGAGGCATTAAACAAGGAACAAACAAACTGGATGTGACATTTTCTATCATAATATCAATCACTAGTTTGTCTGATCCAAACTTGGTTATTTAGACTGTTAGAATGCTGTTGACAGCATGTGAAACAACAAACTGAATAGGATCGTGCATGAGACAGTTTCATTCTGTAGAGGTTGCTTTAATTTTATAGCAATTATTTCGCCATTTTGGTTTATTGAAAAGTAAAACCACGTAGATTCTAGTTACAGAAATGAAACAAAAAAATCACGCACATGAAATGTTAATGCTATTTTTTCCAGCATTTAGAGATACTTCAAAATCATCTTTATATAGCTAATTGTTGGATCTGACTTTCCAGTAATTAACTGCCATTATTATTAAAACCGTTAAAATAATCCTATGTCGTTTCCCCACCAAGGGCTAATTTGCCGATTGACACAATCTGTACTAAAGAATTATAATCCCGGATATCGTCTTCAGCAACACAAAATAATCCTCAGTAATCAAATTTGATTTATTTTTAAAGAATGATAAACCATGAGAACATCTTAGATTACATGTAATATGGCTCAATTCCACATGCTACATACCACATTGTTCATTGTTAGAATGCACATGTTCACTGAAAACATTGGAATTGTTTCGGTTTTGTTTATATATTTTAAATTGACCTTGTCCCCCGTGGTTGTGTTGTAATTAGTTGTACAAACGAAAGCTGGAATCCTGGTTGCCGAGTTAATTTTCAGCCGCAGTTTTGAAAAAAATTATCGCTGTGCGAGAATTGCGGTCGCACGGCAACTGGGTCAACCTCGGACTTAACAATTTAACGTAGTTATGTATTACTGAATTTTCTACCCCATGGTTTGGAAAGGAAACAGTGCTAAAAGTGTGGGCATTGTATAAACTGTTCTCGAAAAGTGTTGGAATTGTATTAAAAGTACTTGAAAAGTGGTTGGTTGGTTGGTTTTTGGTTTAACGCCGCAATATTCCAGCTATATGCATGACGGCGGTCTGTATATGAAAATCGAGTCTGGACCAGACAATCCAGTGATTGGCATCATGAGAATTAATCTACGCAGTTGGGATACGATGATATGCATCAACCAAGTCAGCGAGCCTGATCCCCCGATCCCGTTAGTCGCCTCTTACGACAAGCATGGGTTGCTGAAGACCACTTCTGTAACGCTAATATTATATTGGCTTTCGCGTAAGTGACTGTTGCGTTAAGCATTCAGAAAAATTCCGACCCGTGAAGATCCGGGCTATGAAAGAACGTGATGCATCTTGCTGCAGTCAGTGTAGTAACCTACACCTCGTTATTATAGTAACGCTCAGGTGGAGTTGTATCCGATCAGGGGATGCTTTTCAATTCAGTCGGGTCAATGGTCATCCTCTTACTAGTGGATTAACTTCATAATTTGATGCGAAGGCCACAGAGGTCTCAGTGATTGTGAAGACTGTATGCAAGGACGTGTAACACAGAACAGCTTGGGTGCAAGTCGGTCATTATATTTCCATTTATTTCATAACAAAAATATTCATTCTTCAATACGAGCTATTTATTATTATTATTATTATTATTAATAATAAATGCAGCAAAGATGGTTTCACCTTCCGATACTGTTAGTCTCCTCTTACAAGCATTGTCGCCTGTTGTGACATTATTATTATTATTATTATTATTAATAATAATAAATGCAGCAAAGATGGTTTCACCTTCCGATACTGTTAGTCTCCTCTTACAAGCATTGTCGCCTGTTGTGACATTATTATTATTATTATTATTATTAATAATAAATGCAGCAAAGATGGTTTCACCTTCCGATACTGTTAGTCTCCTCTTACAAGCATTGTCGCCTGTTGTGACAAGCATGGGTCACTGAAGACCAATTGTAACCCGGATCTTCATGGGTCTAAGGCGATCAAGAAAATAAATGTTGACACCCCACTGGTATTAGAAATATATAAATACATTTCATGTGCTCCATATTAGGTAGTTAACGCTTCAAAAATACAGTATAATTCTCTCAAATTATTTGTTTCAAGCATTTTCGGGAAAATATCTCAGACTCACTGTTGTCCCCCCAAATTGAAATACATCCCCCTCTCCCGAATACTAAATTGTCGGCCTCTGAATGGACCAGGGCCCCGTTCCACAAAGCGATCTTAGGGCTAAGTTGATTGTAACTCACTAAGTATGTGATCTTAAATTTTTGTTACGATCAGCCGCCCGTT